TAAGACTATTAAAAACATTCATTTCATTACGGGGCCGGCTTGGTGGGGAAGTAGGAGGTGACAGACTAGCCTCTGGGGCTCCAGAATCTGAGCTACAAGAAAAAAGAACATCTTCTTTAACAGGTTACGAATGGTTAGAGAGGTTAAATGAAACATGCCTCAAATGTTAGAGCCTCTTTTCTTAAGCCAATAAATAAAATTATAATGCTGGCTACAGATGTTTCCCAGAGAAGTTAATAACCCTATGAATACAAACTGCTGCAGATTGTAAGGTGGCACAACATTCAAAGCTTACTTCTTAGCAATGAATGCTCCAGGCATAAAACACACACATAAAGAAACTCCTGAAAACTGTAGTTTCTTAGAGAAACTGATATATATCTTCTTAACAGGAAGGAAAAAAAAAGTCATTTGCAAATGTTCCAAAGTACATTTTCTCAGTGCTTGACACCAAGTTATTTGTGTACAGAAAAATACTCTAGCCAAAGCGTAAGCACACAAAAATTCGTAATCAAAAAAACACCCACATATAACTTGAATAATGGATAACAATTTAATTGCCACCAGGTAAAAACTGTCCTAGAATTAAAGAAATAGAAAATATGGTTTTATTTTTCAAGAAGATATTCCCAAGGTTTAAAAATTATTTCAGAGAAAGCAAACGTAAAAGAATCTTACAGTTTTTGTTCTTTGGCCTTTGTCTTTTCCACTGTTTTCTCATAGGCTTTTCTCTTTGCTAAAGGTGAAGGTTCAGGTATCTTCTTCTCTGATAGAGACGACTGTCTAGAACTAAAGCAAGAGTCATCATTATCTTACATTACAGTCCTTTATATAATTGCTTTTTTTTTTACATTAGTTATTGCCTCTCTTGAATCTGAGTCTATTCTAGATTTGTTTTCATGTTTTAATATTAACATGGAGTAACCAAATGTATTACCTATCATAATTCATCAACATATCAAGAACCAGAAATTGAATAGGTGTAGAAGATCTACTAAATCAATTAACCAGAAAAACTGCAGTGGCTGGAGAAGGCATCTCAGTCTGAGACTATGGAGAAGATGGAAGTTTCGACTGAGACCTTAACTGCAGATTCTGTAACTTTCATCTACAACAGATCACTTAAAAATGCAGAGCAGAAAAATCACAACAATTCTTACATATTAATTAAACTTTTCACTAGCATATTCATTAGTTTCAACATCAAATTCAAAAATAAGAAGAGGAAGAAAAAGTATTTTCAATTCACAGTTTTATTATTTATGACACTGCTTATTCCCTCCCTCTTCCCTGGGTTCCCATCCCTCCTCCTTATGTCTCTTTGAAATCATTCCCAGTTCAAAGTCACTGAGGTCTTTCTCCCAATCTTTCACTCCCCTAAATTAGCAAGATGATCAAGAGTGTAATATAAATGTTAACATGCAAGTGTTATCATTTCACCAGTCAAATAAAAATGAGACAGTTTCCAGTCTTCTGAACTCTCCTTTCACTCATTAAATACTGGAGAATCAGAAAAGCAATATTTGCACTGGTTTACCTGTTTGTAGGCTTGGAATTTTTTATACCATTGGGCCCAAAATGCTCATTAAGAGAGCAATTCTGCAGATTTTGAAGGTGCTCTTGTGGCCTGTGGTGAGGCAGCCCAGCCTGCAGTTCTGCGCCTGGAAAGCTGTGCCAGGTTCCCCCAGGAGGAAACCTGTGCTATATGAAACCCATCTTTGCAGAGTGGCCTGCAGCAGAACCCAGTATTTCCAGGAGAGCACAATCAAGAGCAGCTTTTTTTCAGCTGAGCTGTCACAGCCGATTTCATGCCCACCTGCAAGGTGAAGGTCCCACCTGCAGGGCCTGGTGCTACAGATAGATGCAGACCCCAGAGTATTGACACCTGTAAATAAACAGGGCTTTCGAAAGCCAGGAGGAGAAGTAATGACCTGTCCCTTGGCACAAAAACCTAGCGGTGCACAGAAGTGGAATAGGAGGCAAGTCTAATTCTCTGCTTGAGCCCAGAAGTCCCATTTCTCCATAGGGCTCCCTGACCTCTAAGCAGATGACATGAGAGGGAATACGCTTAACACCCTTTCTCTGTTTATGCTAGGCCAAAGAATGGAGAAGTCCAGGGACCACAAGGCATCTCCTAGGCTCAGGCTGGTAACTGTGTCTTTCAGCTAAACGAGGGAATCCTGGCTTTAGTCTTCCCTGCCACGGCTGCCTGCAGGTCCACTGCCCAGCTGCTGGATCACACGAAACGCTGGGGCCTGGAGCACGAGTGCCCCTGCCTCGCACTGATGTGCTGCACAAGGAGACAGCTCCCTCCTGCTTACTCGGGAGCGCCACATCCTCACGTGTCAAGAGCATGAGAATATTATGAATCATTTTTGAAGGCCTGGAAATTCTCCTAAAAATGCAGGAGTTTTGCTGTAATGAAATTCCTAAGCATAGATGTAAAACAGATGCATCCTATCAGTGACCAAGACATATTTTATTGTAGGTTTCCAGTGCCATCTTAGAGGTCCTAGGATATCAGAGATGTCTGAATGGAGGTGGCAAATACAACAAGATCTAGAGGAGATCCACTCTCCTCTGAAGAGGCTGCTGGAGACCAGGTGGGCACACCAGTGCACCTAGAACAACACTGGCCATCTTTGTAAACAGACCTCCTTCCCAAGTGACTGAGAGCAGCCTGGGTGCATTAAGATAAATCATCACAGAGCTGCAAAAACAGCTAGACTGCCGTGGTGGAGCAGTTGGTACATCCACAGACCCCTGGCTTTGGGCTGGGAGCTACACTCCAAAGCAGAAGCATGAAATTAAATTTCTAGTGCTTCAAGAGCAAGCACTTTTTGGATGACTCACTACATCCCTACATTCCAGTTAAGGAGTAGAAGAGGACGACAGCATTTATTGCACACAGGATCACATTCTGCACCAGAATGTGTTTTATTGTAACCGATATGACAGGACCAGAGGCTCAGATAGGAAGGTCAGGTGGCTCACCAAGACAAACTTTCTTCAGCAACGACCAGTGACGAGCCAAACCAGTCCTGCTGCAGAAAGTACCCTGTTCTGGTTGGGAAAAACCACTACAACCTGTGGTGAGGAAGTGGCTGGAGACTGATAGTAGCAAAATCACTTATGTGCCGAAATACCATCAGTAACATACTTAAAATGTGAGGCCTACTGCTAAAGTGAACTGATTTATTGACTGCCCACAACTGTATAACGTGTCTAGGCTACAGTTTAATAAAATCCTGTTTTGCCTCTTTGCTAGCTCACATTCATGAATGGATACACCCAGGAAGAGGGAGCAAGACAAGGAAGGTATTACCTGAGTTTTGGATGGCCAGGTCATAACACTTGATGTTTTTAAAATCTTGAAGCTTCAAAAGTTTCTAGCAATCTCACACTATCTGCTGAAATAGGTTCCTCCATCTATACCTAGCCCAAGAGCACTATTTCCGAACAGATTCTACTTGTAAAATGCACTGAAGTCATCAGCATGGGTTAATAAATACTGTCAGCAGTGCTTTACTGTTCATGTTTGCAACCTCGAGCACATGCTAGAAAAAAATGTGGTGTAAGTAATACGAATTGCAAGTGTACATTAGAAGGAGACTGCCGTAAAAAAATATGCAAATAGGACAGATGGATAGTGAAAAATGCCTAACTCCAGCATCTTTAACATGGAAATAGCTATTGGGCACAGTTTTTCCTTGTCACTTAATGTGACAACTCGTTACGTATGAGCCTGTGAAATTTAAGTGTTGCTACCTAAAAAGTCAATGAACAGGCTCCTAACAGTGAATGGCTGAGAACGACAGTGATATTGGTAGATATAAAAGGGAAAGGAACAGTGAGTTAAAACAAAACAAAGCAAAAAACACATAAAAGCAAGAGCCTGAGAGAAAGGCTTACGGGACTCCAAAGGAAAAAAATAAAATTTCTAATTTTATTTGGCATGCAGTAATATTTTCAACAAGTTTTTTTTTTTTTTAAGGTACGTGTAGCTTGCAAGTAGAAAGTAATTTTGAGGATTCATAGTATCCCACATGCTTAACAACATTTGCATGCTCAGTTATTGTATAGAACTCCGCTTTTTAAATATAGACCACACAAAATGCCTCAGAGAGATTTTACCCAATTTTAGAGCCATTTACAGGTATTATTACTGCATTATATAATGTTTTCTTTGCATCTGTGCTGCTTTAAGCAGATTCTCATTATCTTCCTAGAATCTGTATTTCCCATATGATTATTTAGCAAAATATCCAAGGTACAAGATGATTTTTAATCTGATATTTAGAAACAAGGCTACACTAACTTCCCTAAAAAAAACAGCTTAACAAAAGTATGCTCTATAAAAAGCCTTATAATTGACAACAGTGCCTTTATACTTTCTCAAGTTATGATAGCAGAAGAGAAGAAGGGGTATTGTCAGTATTATTTAATAAGCTTCAAGTACCTCAATCTCCTGGGTGAAGTTAAAATAGATTACAAGAAATTCGCAACGTGCATTTTTAAAAAGCGGAAGATAATTAGTACAGCGTGGCCAAACTTACATGCTGCCTATCTTAGAAGGTAAGCCAGACGATGGGGGAATAAACTCTCTGTCCCTAGCAGAAGTATCGTTTGTGTCAGCAGCCATCCCACTCTCCTGGGTTTCTGAAACAGCCGCAAGAGGGCCGGGCAAAGCAGAGTCTGTAGCACTAACGTCGGAGCCTAACAGCAGCTCCATCTGGGTCGTGGTCCTTCGGCGAGCCTGGAAGTAGAGAGGAGCCAAGCTGTGATTTAAACATTTCATGGGATGTACTGGAATGCTATGTTTAAGCTTACTGTTAACTGACAATTAGCATCCCACTCAATTCACTTGGCAACTACCTTTGGAAAGTCAATTGTGGAGCTGGCCTGTACTTTTTGGTAACAACAGAGGAAGCTAGTCAAATTCAACAGTGTGAAACTTTGATTTGACAACTGTTTGAAAAGGATATCCTTGGAAACCAACTCTGAGCTGGAGCGGAATATCACCCGCATAAGGTTTATGTAAATGAAGTGTTATAAAGCAGAGGAATAAAGCAAAGTGTGAATTTAAATAGTTGCAATTATACTGGTGCAACTTCTCATGCTGATGCTTATTCTGATATAAAAATGTCTGCTTCCAATTTAGATTATGTCACTCCAGAAGTAGTTTAAGCCAAGATGAACAAAAATTCCCACAGTTTTTCAACTATTTGAAAACAACAGAAAACTTCATAAAGAAACTGAGCTTTGTGCAACACAGTCATTCTTTAACGACTGATCATACGTTAGCTTTGGTTGCTGCTGTGGAATTAAGATCTAACCCTTAGGGAAAAAAAGGCCATAGGAATGGAGAGTAGACGGGGAAAGACTCGGGCAGTCTGAGCAGAGCCTTTCCAAAAACGATGGCCACCTTCTTTATTTTATACCAGCATTTTCAGGGCAAACTTATTCACTCTGTCTGCCCAAAGACCTGCAGGCTTATGAATGCTATGAGAAATGTGACAGTCAACTTAGGTATGTTCCTCCATTGCCAACTGTAATTAAGATCCTGAAGGTCAAATATCTATTTACTTTTTAAATTTCCTTTATAATTCTAGAACCACAAAAGCAAATTGCATATGATAAGCACGTTCCTCGTTCCCACTGGTATCAATATTAAACTGCAGCCTAGTTAAACTGTAGATCTACTCAGGTTTGGCATGCTAATAACTGAAGAAAGTCTTTCTTCCTAAAGCTGTAAAAATTTAACCATAAAATATTGAAAACATCACTGCTTCTTAGAAAGGAGTATCACATGAAAACATCTTATATATGAATTATATAAACAATTCCCCTTTTGCATGTATTCATTCCCTGATTCAACAGAAAGGCAAGAGTGTCCCCCAGAAGGGGCCACTAAAGCGTTTATTATCACACAGCCTACCTTGCTTTTGGGCTTGACTTCACCACAAAGCTTCATGAGATCTGAAGACAATGAACTAAAAGAACAATTGCAGCACAGTGAAAAAGAAAACAGTTCATATTTTTGCAGCATGTATATATATATTTTTTTTTTCTGAATTGGTGGATGAAATGGAAGAAAATTATTTCAGATGTATTTTCTAATGGATACACAATGAGTTACTGAAAAGGCCAAAAGCAGTTACTTTTCTAGAATCAGAACCAGTTACCAGTTAACAAAAATTGCTCACCTCCCTTCTGCCCCAGGGCTATGCAGCGGGGCATCCTCATCGGTACTATCTTCCAAATTTTCTAGAAAATTTCCAAAGGAACAATGTTAGACAGTTCATCCACTCCACAGGATTTGCAGCTTGTAAGTGCTACATAAGACAGCTCAGAAAATGGTTGACAATTTTTCCCATCAGGAAAGGTAGCTAAACTGAATATTAAATATAGGAATTTTCAAAATAGTTTTGACTGTTTGCTGAATTTTCCTGGTATCAAATCTAGGATTTTTCATACAGCCTAAAGAAATGATACACCTAAGCACATAGTGCCATATGTGGTTCTCTATTGTAGCAGAGCAGTAGAGATGATAGACAAGCAAAAATAAATTCTGAAAGGAAATCTGGAAGCAAAAAGGAAGGTAAACAAAAGGAAAAGTTAACTGCAAGACACAGAAGACAGAGGATGAAAATCAATGGACAGTAAGAATGTCTCTTTCTGTTTTATTTGTTTTTGCTTTTTGGAATCATATTGCTCTAGGAAAGAATTAGAGCAGTTACAAAGAAAATAAAATCCTTTTTTAACCAGCTAGTGAGCTAAAGCTCAGCCTCAGGTTATAGAGAATGGCACCAGTTGGGCTGAGGGGAAGCAAGCACCAGATAACACCATTTAGCACTACAAAGCAGCTTCCTCATAAATCATAAAAAGAAAGAAGCTGGTCAGTAGAAACGGCCCTGAAACGCAACGGGTACACACAGCTGTTCACAAAGGAGAAAACCTGCATGCACGTCGCACACGGACACTATCAAACCGCAGATGGACGTGTCTGCATGCAAACGGGGCAAAACACGAAGTTACATCAAGCAAGACAGGGCATATGTACAGTCCAAACTGGAAACATTTTTAAATGCAAATCTTGTATATTGGAAATAAAAAAGAACAATTAAGCATCTAAATTTGTGAGATTATAGGAGAGAATAGATTCTCTTCTTTGCATTTTACTCTAATAACATACTTGAAATACAATTTAAGAATATCAGGAGAACATTCTAAGCAAAGTCTCCCTTATTTTGAACATTCTCTTGAAATTCTAAGGATTAAATAACATCCTAATGAAGCTCCACTGTATCTCTTTTTTAATATTAGAGCTACTTTAAAGATATTTATTTAATTTCTGACAGAAGATGGACACCATATGTGAGTCACATAATATATTTGGTACCCTATTAAAATATATTTAAAGTGTATACATGGACAAACTAAGTTCATGCTTTGGAGAAAGGTAGGAAAGAAACTGCCTCCAGCTGAATTCTGAGAAGGTGTAAAGAAAATAAAACAAAAATATTGCTTTTTTCTATATGCTACATCTAATAATGCTTCCTGAAAAGTTCAAAATACACATCAATCTTACACCAATGCACTTTAAACACATTCAACTGCTGTATTGGTTCAACAACATATTTTTATTTATCAAAGATACGACAGTATTATGGACATATATTAAAAAATGATGTAAAAAAACAGTAACCCCCCCGATTCTCCTTTTGTCTCTTTCTGGATCTGAGCCTACACTGAAGTTTTTACATATACGTTATTACTCTGTGGCTTCTGCAGGTGAGGGGATCTAGAATACTTTTCTTCTAGTGAGGTATCAAAGCCCCATCAGCAAAATAAGTGCATTTCTTTTTCATATATGATTCATATTAGGGTCATGTTACTTCACGACCTTCTCACAAACAATTTGCACTCCACTTTTACAGGTAATATCAGAAAGCAGAAGGGGAGGACAGCCAGAAAAGATGTTACTTGGGCACTGTGGGCTCACACCCATGGGAACTGATGTGCCCTGTTCTTGAGTTTGATGGAATCCAGCACAGAAGACTGTGGGAAGGGCCCAGATAGAAACCAGCACACAGACCAACAAGAAATGAGGCAAAATCTGCATGAAGTCCTAAGTGAGAAGAGAGTTAAGGTGAGCCATGGTGGTACTGCTTGCCAGGAGCAGCAGAGATGACCGAAGCAGAGAGGTTTGAGGATGAAAAGAAGCAGAATGCAGAGGCCGCTGGTGTGACCAGCACGACTGCAATGCACAGAAACACACACTTGATCCCAGGAAACAATACTCAACTTGCTCCCTCAAGCTCTGCCCATACATGGCTGAGAGTGACATCTACCAATGTCCAGGTGCCTCAAATGGGAAAGAAAAGTAGTTCCCACTGCCACTGCTTTGGAAAGGAGTTGCTCCAGCAACACTCCAGGAGCCGACTTCAGGTCATGTTACCTCTTCACAAGAGCAGCTGGGATAGCAGACAGCAGCTGGTTTATCCACACACAGGGTAGGTGTGCACCCGAAGTCTCTGGGTGAAATCCTGAGCCTGTGACGTACTTGGCCCCAAAGTGAAGCCTTCCAGTCGGCCTACACCTTACCACAGGCACACAGCTGCAGAGTGAATGCCCTAACTTCAAGTCAAATATGTTCAAAGGGTTAAGAATGTACAGATTCCAGATTTGAAAGGAGGAATCAAGGGAGCAGTTCCCAAACAACAAATGAAAAGCACCTGTATGTTCAACTACTCTGCTTGGGATGGGGCTGATTGAGGCTGAGGTCTCAGCGGTTTGGATACACCCACAGTAAAGTTTCCTGCCTATAAAGTGTTAACATAGTCCCGAGTGGCCTGGGAGTTTTTAAAGCCTCAGTTCATGCTTGCAAAGTGTTAAAAAGCTTTAATGAGATACACTCTAACAAAAAATTCATGATCGAGGTATTATTCCAATGCATTCAACACATGTCTGCTCACTGGTCCAGATGCTGTTAACACATAAAGCTTGGACCCTGCAAAAGCAAATGCAGTGCTGGCTTCCTGCAGAAGCATTGCTCTCACTCACCTAGGGGCTTAAAGAGCACACAGACATGAAGTTTCTATCTTGCATAAACTGTGACACTAGTAACAGCTGATATTCCTGTGTAAGCACTAGCCATTTGAAACAACATGTCCTGAGGCAAGTCCTCAGCTGCAGTCACCTGTTTGGATGCCGGTCAATCTGTAACAGCTCACACCAACTTCTACAACACGCTCATCTGTCTGCTTTAAGGCAAACTCTTGCACTTTTGGAATACTTCAGATGTCTATGCAAACTAGCACAGGACAGATTAATGGGATTAGAAGTATCACAAGACTATGCAGAATGGGTTTTTGTTGACATCGGCTTTTTGTTAAGCTTTAAAGAGCCAGTTTTGTGTTTGGGAGAAAAGGATAGAAGGAAATTTGTGTCATTTATTTAGGAGTCATTTAAGAGCAACAACAATTACAGAACCCGTCTCCTCAAAATTAGTGAAGCCAGTAATTGAACCCAATTGAAAAGAATGAGATAGAATCAGCAACCTGTAGAACAATTACATTACAAAATAAACCATCTGCAAAAGGTTAAAAATAAGATGCATGTTAAGAATTACTTTTTGTCAAACAAAAAAAGAAAAGATCAATTTGCCACAACTATAGCAGTAATATATCATGAAATAACCTTCTAAAGTCTGAACATATTGCAGGTTCACAAACAATAATTCAGCAATTTGCTCTACAGCTCTACTTACTATAGTCACTTCTCTACTATTAAAACTAACTATCGTAAGAGCTACAGGTGGTATCAGAAAGGAAGAAACGCTTTGTAAAGCCTCTGATAACGAGTACATTTTACAGAACAGTACATGCAAGCTTCACAAGCTCACAAATTCTAAGATGCACCAGTTAGTGAACATGAATGAATTAGTAACTCATGCAGCTGCATCATACACAGAAAGCTAAACATACTTACCCAGTGGTATGCTATCTAGGTCTGTGTAAACAACAGCAACAAGGAAAGAAAAGCAACACTCCAATCAAAACATATCCATTTATAAAAAGAAATAAAATAAAAGTACCCAAATGTATCCTATACTTTTCATAACATCATCTCATTAGAAATAGAATAGATGCCGTAACAGACATAGAATAGCACTTTCAAAATCACTAATGTATTGTGATTGCATAGGGTTAAATATTTAGAATTTTGTACTCAGAAGTTAAAATTATATCATATTTAAGTGCATAGTCTCTTGTAAAAATAACAAGCAGAATACTTGAATGTAAACTCTTAATAATGAAAAGATTCATTATTTCCCACATTTCACTGCTGAGCAGATACATTTAAGAATGATATGCATGCACATTGATTGTAAAACAGAGTTCAAATGTAAGATGGTAAAATACAGCATCTATTCAGAAAAGAACAGCCTCGAATACCCAGTACAACATGCGTGAAAGGCAAACACGGCATGCAGGCAATCACTCAAGGGAAAAGAATCCAAAATTACCTTGCAACGCATGACCCAGCAAAGCATCGAGCTCAGGATTTAACTCTGCTTTTTCTTTCAGCATATGAAATAGCAGTTGGTTTTGCGTGGCACTAGTAATTTCTGTCTGCTTAAGACGTCCTTCAAGAACTTTAATCTGAGCTTCTTTCTGGGCTGCTTGCAGACCCTAGAAGAGAGAAATCAAATAAAGAAAAATGACACACTTTAACACAACATTTTGTATAGTTAGAAAACAAGACTTGCAAAAAAAAAAAAAACATTGCAAAAGCTAAGAACACACAACACAAATACACTTCATGGCCTAAGGTCAATTATTTTTTCTTGAGCGACTCATTTAATGTTCTTACCTTCCTCAGGCTCTACTTGCAAACATGCATTCTGTGACTAACTCAGACATGAGTCCGAAGCACAATGCATAGATTTTTTTGCATATATTCAACACCAGCAATTACCTGAAAATCAACACCTTATTTTTTCCACAAATCAGTAAACAAATCAGCATTAACTTCTGGCTGAGAGAAGTGGTCTCTTCTGGAAGGATGAAAAACAGGCAACTCATTGAAGGTGGTAACAGCTTGCAGTTGCCTTCACACTGAGAACCAGGACAATTCAGTGCTGGCAAGCTTTGCTTTATCCAGTTTACTTTCCACAAGTGTAAATCCACATCAGCCAGCCAGTAAATCTACAACCCTGCTCCTAATAAATAGCACAGTCCTGGCACACACATATTTCACTTACTACATTACCTTATTGATGCCCATTGTGAGGAAGTGATCAAGCAAATATCGAGCTTCTGTCAAAGTGCAAGCATTGATCACTGCTGTTACATCCAAGGTCTCTCCTTCTTCCTACATGTGCAACAATAAAAACAGTCAGATGGTGAGGAAATGCATCTTTTTAGAGTCATTCCACTAATTGTAAAAGCACATGGCACAGGGTGGCATCCAGGCGGGTTTGGAAGATCTCCAGAGAAGGAGACTCCACAACCTCTGTGGACAGCCTGTTCCAGGGCTCTGTCACCCTCACAGGAAAGAAGTTCTTCCTCACATGGGAGTGGAACTTCCTGTGTTTTAATTTGTATCCATTACCCCTTGTCTGAGCAACCACTGACAAGAGTTTGACCCCATCCTCCCTACAATCTCCCCTCAGATACTAATAATCCTCTCAATGTTCTCTTCTCCAGGCTAAACAGGCCCAGCTCGCCTAGTCTTTCCTCATAAGATAGATGCAGTAGTCTCTCAATCATCCTCATCACTCTCCCCTGGACCTTTTCAGGAAGCTCCACATCCCTCTTGTCCTGGGGAGCCCAGAACTGCACCCAATACCCCAGGTGTGGCCTCACCAGAGCTGAGGAGAGGGGCAGGATCCCCTCCCTCGACCTGCTGGCAACGCTCCACCTGATGCCGCCAGGATCCCACTGGCCGTCTTCGCCACAAGGGCACATTGCTGCATCATGGTTAACTTGTGGTCAGTCCAGGTCTCCCAAATCCCTCTTCACGGAGCTGCTTTCCAGCAGGTCAACACCTAATTTGTACTGGTGCCTGCAGTATCCCCAGTGCCTGGGGATACAGTACAGTGCCTGTACTGGTGCCTGGGTATCCCCATGGTATCTCTAAACCATACTTGACAGATGCTTTTCCAACCTACTCCACAAACACCCCATGATGCAAACTCTGCAGTTTTCCCAGGCTCTTCAATGCTTCTGTTTCTTTGCTCCTGAAAGCTCTTGTAATCTCTAACCCAGACCTTTCTCATTGGTACTCACAGTGGAAGTAGAAAACAGTATATTCCTTCAGCCTCTGCCGCTCCTATGTGTTTGAAGACTTTTCTCCCTAGTCTCTCTCTCTCCAAAATAAACACTTTTTTGTTCCAGTTATTCTCACCAGTCAGTATATACCCCTCTAGCACCCTTTGGAATTAATTCCTTTGTGTTCACTACTCTTTTAACAGTAAAGTCCTGTAACGTTGCACTATGCTGTCAAAATTCAGGTTTACTTGATGCAAGTAGAGCAGTAAAGCTGCTGGTGATGCGACATACACAAATTAGCCTAACGTGGAAGGGGAAGAACTTGATCTCTGCTTCACAAAAGCACTAGCAAGGATTACGGCACATGGCACCACTGTGACGAAGTCCAGACAGACAGATCTAGGAGATGATATCTGGAGGGTTCTTAATGCCATATCATAGATGGTAAGATATACGTCGTAAGAGTTTTCACATCTGTTTTGCACTGCTTTTGATAACATCCAAGTGATTCTGCATCACTTGGAACAGATAGATACCACAGCTTCACCTGACTTATTAAATTATTACTTGAAAAGCCAGTCCCAAACAAGCAGCAGCTTTGCTTGAAAAGTCTCCCTTAGCAATAAAGTCATTTCTTCATAATGAATGAAATGGATACAGAACTATAATAGGACTGATAAAATAATGTATATAATATTCACATACAAAAAGCCTTAAATATTTTGTTTTTGCATATTTTAAATATAAGAAAGTAGGAGAATATCAACAGCTGCAGGAAGAATTTGTATAAGTTGCTAACCTTCACTTCCCAAAAACCATATTAATTTAAAGCCAATAGAACTGGCTCTGACATTTAAATGCTTTGCAGTATTAGCTTGTATTGCACAATAAAAGTTAAAACTCAGATCTGAAAACTCAATTATAAAAGATGCTCATTTCAAATTTCATTTAATTTTCCACCAGCTTTTACTTCCTTTACTTCCTGGTTCGACAATTATACAACCAAAACAAAACTCATTTTTAAACTCAACTATTCTCAAGACTTGTGCAGTTGCTTTTTTGTTTTCCTTGCATCTCTTCATTTTACCATCATTTACAATAATAATTAACCTACCTTTGCTTCTTCCATTTGCATAATGTTTGCTTGGCAGTCAGAAATGCTGTCATTAATGTAGTCTATATTCGCAGTTAGTGATTCCATCTCTTCGTTAATATTCTGGACATTTCTGTCTGCTTCACTGCTACCTCCTTCCTTGATGAACTTCTCCCTTTTCTTTGAAAGCTTTTCTCTTCTTTTTGTAAGTTCTTCACGTTGCTATTTGTGCCAAAGACACAATATTACAAAAAAAAACAATGAGGAAACACTTAAGATTTTGAAATGTGTTTTTCTTTGTTTAATTTTCTTTTCCTTGCTATAATTTGTGCCAGGATTTCAGCAGCAAGAAATAAGTTTTGTAGGTGAATACATCATCATCTTAACGTGTTTCTTTTTATTACTACATAGAGCAATCCCATGGTCCAAAAGCTCATTGGAGATAAGAGCTTCTTCACTGGTTGCCATAGAACCTGAGTCACTTCACTTATGTCAACAAAAAAGCAATTCATTTGCTGCAAATATGAATGTATTGGTATCTCTTTGATGTGACCACATGCCCAATAGTAAATGGCAAACCACCTACCGTAAGCAACCTGTTCATATCTGCTTCCATATTGGAAATGGTCATCCGCTGCATAATGATATCAGTCACTCTTCGTTCAAGTAACTGCCACTTCATCCTGGCTGCTTTTGAGGAGTAAACTCTGCTTGTCACGGCTTTCCGCTGATATTTCTTTCTGTGATGAATTCAAGAGAAACATAAAGCTGAGTGAAAGCAAGTAGTGAAACGCAAAATTGAATACGGAAATGATCAAGCCAAAATACTTTTTTTTTTTCTAACAGACAGTTTAAGAATTTCTTGCAGTTTGTCATTGCACGGAACACCTGTCTGCACTCAATCCTGAACTCCACTGCATTCTGTAATATTTTGCATTTGAAAAACAGTTAACAAACTATGGCATCTTATATGAGGCACTACAGAAATCAGAAGATGCCAAAGAATCATTCTCTCTTAAACAAAGTAATCTGCTTCAAACCAAACTAGAAGGTCATCAATAGATCTATTTTTTTTCCCCAAGAACACTGTGGATATCAAACCAACAAGCATATTTCTTTAAAAACAGGTTGAACTGTATTTGAAATTTGGGGGTTTCTTAGTAAGACTTATCCTTTAATGACATTTCATAGTGCTCCACACTGTCTTAAATTCATAAATTCCAATTACACCTCCAATACTGCTCATTTTATGAACATTACATGACATGTATCATCACAAGACTATATGCTATGAAGTCTACTCAATTTTCAGCTCTCTTTAGAAAGACCTAAGCAGTTTTAATCCTTACGCTGTTCCATTTGTTGCAGTTACAGATAATGCCTGGACTCTTGCAACAGGAATTCTCATCTTCTGCTGTGCCACTGTTCTTGAGCCATCGTACTCAACAGATGAACTAGAACTTGGTTCTTGAACAGGATGGTCAGGCAGACTCAGTTTTCGACTCACTTTCCCTGCCACTCTGTCAGACAGAGGCCTTACTTGCCGACGAAGGGCTGTAACCTAGAACAACAGAATGCAAAGACGTAACTACCTCTCCCTGAAATTGCAAAATTGTTCTATTTTCACATGTGCATTAATATTTTACCACAATACCTCTTCTGTTTTGCGCCGCAGGATAACTTCCTGATTTCTTTTCTGAGCTTCCAGAAGCTTGAGCTGATGCTGTGAAAAAGATACCAAGAGTTTGCGATATTATCTTTAGCATTTTTCAGAAGCAATTTATTGCATAAAAAGGAGAACCATTACATTCTAACACAAGTTTGCAAAACTACTGTGAAATAAAGTGCTCAGTCCAGTCACAAAGCTTTCATACTTCTTCTATGACAATGTTTCAACATTGCAATTCTCTGTCAATAAGAACAGTCTTGTGTGCTAAGTACTGTGTGCGGCAATAGCAATAGTTTTACAAAGACTCACAAATAAAATAATGTTGATATTTGTAGTTAATGAGCCCTCTGTTTTCCATTGTACTTATCACTTGAAACTATGAACTGAATTATGACAGAAGTCAAATAAAATTATGTGCATTTTGACTGGTGAAAATATGTATGCAATGTCTGTCTGCATACATGCAGGGCATACGCCTGCATACGGTGCACATCATAATGATAAATGCTTATTCCAAATGAGTTCTTTATCTGTTAAACAACCTCTCGCTTGCGCTGTTCCTTTTTGAGCTGTGCAATCTCTCTGTTTCTTCTAGATTCAGTCATTCTAGCTTTTTCCTGCTCTTCTTTCATTTGTTTCATCAAGCGAACCTGTAAAGAATTATCACAAATACATTTAGAAAAGTTGTTTACATTCAAGTAATGCACATGCACATGCACACATGGAAATTTCTTTCAACTGCCATTTCCAGTATTCTACCTGCTTGAAGCAATTTACCTCAGTCCAATTTGTTTTCTCTCAGTGATGAATAGCACATAATCAGCACAAGTGCAAGCTTTGCTGCATTTGATACAGTAATTTCTGTTCACTAAACCTAAAAGACACACCCTCACACATGCACACACACAGAAGTAACTTAGTTTTCACTTCTATTCTAATTTCAGACTTCTGGATGACTTCAAAAACATGGTTGTCTGGTGGATAAATGGAGGGAATCTCAACCCACTCTCCAGTGAAGAAATATTCTTACACAAGGCTTCAATATACTGAAGTATACCTTGGTTTTCTTCATCTCTGTCACCTCCTGCTGCAGTTTTTTCAGTTGCTTTTCATATTGAGACTGATTTTTAAGCAAACGTGCATGTTCCTTTTGAGCTGTTTGAAGTCTCTGCAATTCTTTATTCATGGCTTGGAGTTTCTTCTCATATTCTGACTTAATTTTTTTTGCTTTTTCTTCTGAATAGGTCTCCACAGAACCTGAAGAGAAAAAAGGAATTCTTCTCTGCTTTTTATTAAGACATTTTCACTTCCTCAGTTACAGCTGATCACTTTCCTCTGCTTTTAGCACTATATAGTAAGCTACTTTATAAAGTGATATAATGATGGTTTTCTCCACATTCCTTTCCTAATAATTCTTGGCATGCAGTTCACTTTTCTGACTGCAGCAGACCATGAGTTCCCTTCACCTTTTCTGAATTCATAGAATTGCAGGTATCAAGTTCACCATTCTTTCTTCTTCTTAACACCAATCCATATTCAAAAATTTTTGGGCAGCGAATCAACTGCAGAAGTCAGCTTAGAGCCTCGTTCATATTTCATGAAGGTTAAAAGAAAGGAGAGGGTGGAGAAGAAAAGAACTTCTAATTTATGGATGATCTAAAGAATTAAGTAAAAAGAAAATCAGAGTACTAGAAAACTTGAAAGGCTCATTAAACCAAATCAAGCACCTGCAAGTAACTATCTTTTAAAAAAGTATTTTTCTCAATTCTACCAGAAGCTAAGATGAAAAAAGTGAGATTCATTGGCATTACGCATATGAACTTGTTTGTTCTCTGCAATTTTTTACCACACTTGCAAAAGGAAGTAGCGGAAGTAGCAGAAAATTCACCTTGACGACCTTACAATATATTTAGATTTAAATAAAATTGTACTTCTTACCCAAATTTTGAAGAACCTGATCTCTTTCAAGTTGAGTGTCTCGAATCTTGTGTTGTAGCATCATTAGTTTCTCCTCATACTGCTTTTTTAGGGTTTGCAGTCTTCGCTGGCTGTTTTCTAGCTCATCTATCAGTTTTTGCTTAATGGCAATTTCACAGGTGATATTGGCCAAGTCAGCTTGGTAATTTTCTAAAAGTAAAAAGACTTAATTAAAAATGAAAATAATAATAGTGAGGACCACATAACTGTCACATCAATATCCACAGCAATATCAGGATGATCTCCTAATGTGCAGCTGTACATAGAAGAGTTCTACACACAGCAGAAGGCAGTGAACTGAACTGTTATCTGCAGTTCAGGAAAAAGTCTCCTCTATAAACACTCTCCATTCTGGAAGGAGAAAAGAGGGAGAGACAGGTAACTTCCTCATTAGATGCTAGTTGCCTGTATGTTACAATTACAACCTGTCCTTTCCCACAACAAAGCTACATAGGCTGCCAAGTATAAACTTCATACTTTGGATATTCTAACTAAATAAGAAGTGTGTTATCAAGCATCCTTATAAGGATCAATATGAACACTTGATCAGATCCACATTAAATACTTCAGGGCCATAACCAACAAAGAACTTGCAGAACATACAATTCACAGAGCACTATGGCCCACGAGTTGCCAAGATGCTAACTTGCCTAACAAAAGAAAAGAAAAAACAAGTAGTACTTTGTACCAAAAACTTGTACAAAATCTTGCACTAACATCACCTTTTTCATCAGAGTCAGAATCTGATTCATCTGAGCTTTCAACAACTTCCATGTCATCTTCATCCTCATCTTCCTCCTCTTCTTCATCCTCATGATCACTTACTTCCTGAATTTCCTCCTATAAAACATATGGAACGTAGCCATTAAAAGTATCCACGTTTTTCTGTCTCCCACTCACTTGTGGTTATAGCTGCAAAGCAGCGACATTCATCTGATTCATTCCCAGTTTGAACAGACATCAATGGACAAATAAACCAAAGCAATAGTTTTTAAATACTTACTGCTTCCAGATCATTATTCTCTCTTTCCGAAGTGCCTTTTTCATCTTTCTTCTCCTGCTCATTGTCTGTGCTCTCCTCTCTAACACTAGCAGAAGAAGCCCAGAAAAGAAATATTCACAAACGGAAACTTGTAAGCACTTTCCAACCCCAAACTAGTAACTCAAATTTCCAAGTAAAGATGAAAAACAAAGTGCTGTTAGCCAAAGACACGGAGCTTGGGCATGGGTAAAACACAACTTTCAGATTCCTGCAGATAACAAAATAATACTCAACTACTCTTGCATAGTCTTAGCTTGCACAATAATGTTAATGATTGCCACGTTGTTTCACACTCTATTGCAAAGTTGGAACAACCAGAATACAATTTTTTTCAACTACAGCAGTACTCATTTTGCGTGGAAGTTGCAGTGCAACCAGATAAAGCAAGAATATTGTGTGCAAGTATGACAAGTATCAACTGACATTATTGCACTCTCAAGCTGTAACTGAGTCTACCACACTCACGATAATCTGAAAAATTAGATTTAAACTTTAAAAAACAATGCCCTAATTTATCACATTATACCTGCTCTTCAGATCAGTCATGTACGTGGACACAAAGGCATGCACAAATAGCCGCTGATAGAACAAAAAGAAGCAAGAAATACTAAATTTTTGTAATAAGACTATCTCAAAGAGAAACTTTTCTCAGAGCTTAAAATTACGTTGCACGTGCAAAAATCTTTGCACGTTTCTTGGTTTTAGACTGTGATTTAAAACTGATTTAAATGTCAAGTACCTTAATATTCTTTCCTTTCTTGACAACCTGAGCTGTAATGATGGCTTCTGCAAATTACAAGTTTTTTTTTTTTTTTTTTTTTTTTTTTTTTAAGAATTAGCTAGTAGGAGGATTCTTTAAGAACACAGCAGAGATGTCACATGCAAATGTTAAAATTTAAAACTTGATGGCATCCTGCAAATGATCAGGGATCAAATGTCTGTCCCTCTAGCACTACACACGCAACACCCAAACCATTCCGGATAGAGAGGAAATTGTGACAGAACAGGGTGAGACACCCTGGGGGCAGTAATTATAGAAATGTGATTAGGATCACATAATGTGGAAACCATCTCACACAGCTTGAGCCACCTAAAAGTTTGGCAAGTCTGTGCAGTCGCTGCCCAGGCAGGTTAAATGATGCACCGTAAACCCCTCCATGACAAAAGGACCCCCAGAGCAGACTGCAAGGCTAGAAGCAAAAGGCCTGACCAGGTTTGTACAGGAAATAAAGTCAAGCAAGGAACACAGACCCATGTAATCTCTTTTCCACAGGTTCTTATCTCAATCAGGCCACAACACATTTTGTTTTAGGTTCACTAACAAGCCTATGTGTTAGCAGATCTGAGCTGCAATCTGGATGCAGAAAAATAAAAGCTCCTTTAATTTAAGGACAATATTTAATGTTCACAAGGGTGACCCTTCTTTTACAGCCTTCATCTTCATTGTCCTCTGTGACTGACAAATTTACCTACTACCTTGACTGAAACTAAACTGAAAGAGGGTTCAAGGCTTCACTCACGTGCAGACTTTATTGAAGCAGGAAGGTACAAGACCTTCTAGGTCCTAAATGCCAAATACACAAAGTAATATACTACTCTTGTAGTATATATTGCCTGCTATATATTTCATATCATATGAGCTTCTACACCTTCCTTCCTCCATTCCATACAGCCTGTGCAAGAAGTGTGCTTCATTCTGTAGGGATTCCCAAAGACGCCACCACCCCACAACTGCCCACACTGTCCAGCCCCAAAGTTAACCTCCGTGCAACAACAGAGACTTCTTCCTGTTCAAACATTTGCTGAAATACAAATAGAAAACAGAATTTTGATAGTCAAACGAACTACTCCTAAAGCACTCATGAATCGCTCAACTTCTTTTCACATACAATAACTGATTATTGAAATGACAGTTAATGAAAAACCTGGGAAATATTCCAACCTTCTTTCTTCTTGACTGCTTTCCTCAAGTTTCTGTAGCCTTCAAAAGCACGAGGAACAGTATTGGAAGGCCAAGCCAATGAAGAACAAACCAGACAGTGAAAAGCAAAAGTGATAAGAAGGTAAAAAAATGATATATGAGCTTGTGGAGTTTAAAATGAAATTTTAAAAGATATCATCAAGAGACAATACGGTGTAAAAAGGTAATACATTTTGCAAAGTTGGAAAGTAAATAGAAAACAAAGAAGAAGCACTTGTAGGTTAACTAATCCGTCACTGTCAACTACTATAAATTCAAGTAAAACTAATGAAGTTTCAGAAATAGAAAATATATTTCACTTTGAGAATGATTTCTAATGGGGCTTCAAAACTCCCCAAAATGTTCTAAAAACAATGTTTTCTTTTGCCACTTAAAAAGCTATATACTTAAGATTAGCAGGGCATAAAATAATGAAAACTTCAGCAAGTTCTAGCTTTGAACCATGTTATGAAGCTATACATCCTCAGGAATATAACAGGACACAAAAAAGCAATGTTATATATGCTCACGGCATATTATAATTGAAATCTGTGGTGAATTTTTTGTAATAATATTCTAAATCATATATTCTGAATATAACCCATGCAAAAAACTGCTAACTGCATTTTTTAAATAAAAAGCAGAAATTTGCAGTTTATTTATCTGGGATTCAATAAGTGTATGCCAATGTGTGCTTGTTATCTTTAAAAATTAACAAAAATAGACATCAAAGCAATGAAATGGACAAAATGTTAGTACTTTCATAAGCCATTTGTGTTCTTTAACAAAGCGAGGTACATCACTAAATTAATGTTTGCATGACTTAAATGCAGAAATGTCTTCTATTTCAAGAACTATGATCTCATGTTTCCAAAATGAGTTAAGTTCTGAGTTAGAGCTTTTTCTGCCTCTCTACTTACCACTGTCTGCCTTCTTATTTCAACATCAACTAGGAACTAACATGCTGTATTTATATCACTAATTTAGTTTATTAAAGGTTAGAGATGTCAAAAGGCAGTAGTCAAAAAAGGTTACAAACATGTAAGTCTGATTAAGGATTGAAGGGGACATAGATAATTTGCTCCAGGGCTCTCGTGTGTAGGTCACAGTGTCTGTGTCACACTGCAACCCAGCGTGTCAGTATTTCAGAAGTCAAAACATCACTGCTTTGCAAACAGTTTCTGACAGATAGTATGACAGATGCTTATTGAAGGCTACAGATATAAAGCACTACATCCTTGCTGCATACACTCAAAAACCAGCACTTAGCTGTTCTAGCTACCTCAAAACAATTTGCATAAATTACACGCATTTAACAGCATGCAACTTTGGTCTCACTAACCCACAACCAGGAAGCAAATAGATAAAGGTAGTAGATGGGGTAGAGCTGTTATCTAGGCTTCCCAATTCAGTTTTAGTAGCAGAATGCTGGCCAGATGACCTTAATTAAGAGAACGGCTATCCTGAAAAGGGAGCACTAGTACAGAAAAGCAGCTAAATGCCTGTGGAAGACAGGAGCGGAGCATAGAATCCCTACCAAACTGCAAGGCAATTTGTCCATTTGCAGTACAAACCCATTGCCAAATTCTGAAATTGCAATAGAAGAAAAAATTAGAATGGTATTTCCTGAGCACAGGATTTGCATTTCACGGATTGGAGAGAAGCATTACACAGTTAACAAGTATGATGGACCATATCTGTATAACTCAAAAAATTCCAACTTTTCTTCATTTCCAATATTTTTTTCCCCTAACATAGGCATCTCAGAAACTTTTATTTATCACCAAGCAAGCCACAGATGGGCCTTTCATACTCTGTCAGGACCCCCACGCTTCTTTCTTCATAGGTATGTGGGGCAGAACTTGGAAACACTTTCTTCAAGCAATCATCTCCTGCAATAACGGATATCGGTTGTTGTAGCTAGAAACCTTTGCTAGTTTTCAGGAAATCACCCTGTCTAGTACTCAGGCTCCAAACTAACAGTACATTTCAGAGCACGTGGAGCATTAAAACGTGTGTTGAAGCTCGTGGAAGCAGTCTCTCTGCTCACACATTTCCAGTTATAGCGCATCCCAAAATGTTCAGCTAAATTCTGCTGATTTCACCTGATATGCACATTCTCCCCTCTAGTACATATGAACCTGAGATAAAACACACAAACAAAAAACCTATCTAATCCCATAAAAGCTGATTGAAAAATGAGATAGAAAAACAGAATCTAGCTGATGTTTTTTCACAAGTGTCAAGTGTTCCTGTGCTGAACACATTTATGGATATAGGACCCAAACTCGCCGATCTTGCTATCCCAAAGCTTCTAAATTAACTATTTCAGGCTAGTACTGTTTCAGTTTTACCATTAACTTATAGAAGTCTGAATGGTCACTCGTAGAAAAAGTGATAGATTAGAAGCATGGACAATTTCAGGGAAAAAGATTGAGGGGAATTCAAAGTCTTGGATTGAATGAACAGATCCTTGCTGGATTAACTGCTGTCTGAACAGGCATTTATATTGATGTCTATGAGCAAATTAGTAGATGAAGAACTGGACAGAAAAAAGTAGCAAAGCACGATGTTGCAATGAAGTCAGAAATATTAAATTTAAAACATCCATAAAAGCAGAAGAGAAGGAAAGCAAAAGAAGCCATTCCAAGAGCTACCAAAGAACTCCCAGCTATTCAGAATATCTTGTTTTTCAGAAAGCTGTTGCATTCAGTTTCATCACAAGGTAGACAGATTTTTTTTAACTGTTGAATTTCAGATGTATTAAAAAATAATAATTATGGAGACTATCTGTCCAAATTTTGTACAATTTTGTACAATGTATAATTTTGTACAAAATTATAAAATATAAAAATTCTTTACATCAGACACATTAATTCTACATATATTATATAATTTTGGAATGAAAAGATATAAGATAAAAACACCTACAATCTCAATGCATAAAAGGATTTCTGCAAACAAATCTACATAGCAACAACAAATTAATTTTAAAGTCTCAGTACTTATACCTTTTATACTAATAAAATACAAATAAAGAGCATTATAAAGAGAAGATTTCATGCACCACCTCTTTTTCTTTTTCCTTTCCTTTTTTTTCAATTTTTCTAGATCTTTCTTGGCTATATCTAGAATTTCCATTGTCTCTTTCTCTGAAGAAAGCATAGAAGTAGAAAATGCTGATGGTCCACCAAAGTACGTGGCTCGTGTTGAAGCTCTTGACAAATTGCGTCGAAGATTTTCATTGACTGCTTCACTTTCTAATAATTTTGCTCTAAAAAAAGAGGGGGGGTTAAATATATACATACATACTGTATATACAGGCACATACATACTTTTTGCAAAGGCTACAGTATTTTATAACACTAAGTGGAAATATACCAAATAACTCTTCTGCATGATAGAACTCCGAGAAATAGACAAAGAAAAATACATATTTTTTTAAAAAAAGGACAACGGATGCAAACTTTTTTTTTTTTTTTTACTAAATTTGCAACAAACAATTTCTTAGAACTATGATTAACACCAAGTTACAAAGTTATCATAAGACAATGGTTTCAAACCTTGCGCTACAATGCTAAGTTATCACCATTAACGAAGGCAATAACGTACATTCATCCTCTATTGTCAGCTTCATCTTTAATATTTTGATTTTCTATGGCTATGAGCACCACTAGATGGTCTTAGTTCAGGACGGTGGTTCCTGGGCTTCTAAAGCTCACACAGTAACAAAATAATCACGTAACTACAGAAGCAATAACTTGCTGAAAGTACTAATGTTTGTTTCTAATAAAAAATAATTCAAATACATATTATGCAAATACCTGAGATCTTCAATTTCCTTGATATAATTATGAATCATGTTGCTAATTTCTTCATTTCCTTCACCTTTGAAGGACAGTGAGAAAGTAAGAGGGAGAAGGGGAGAGAGAGAGAGAAAGAGAAATGGAAGGCAAGAGAGAGAAAGAGAGAGAGAGGATGATAACAATTTAAATATTTCCTTACAGCTACTGGGACCAGGGTACCAGCAAAGAGAAATGGTGATCTGGGCTACCCACTCAGATCTTAGCTGATTTATGAAATGTTTTCTCCTAAATTGGACAGATTTTTCGTTCACTGAAAAATGAGTTTTATTAGCAGCATCATAAAAACATGAGCTTCATCTATACTGAGTTTTTTATCAATCCACTTGCTGGGCAGGAGAATTTTGGTTTGAGTTCCTTTCCTGCACCCTCCTGTTCTGAGGAAAATTTAGCACACAAGTTTCACAGTAGAAAGTCAGAAATACTATTTCCTAATTTTTCTTATTTTGGTATTTTGTGATCAGTATTACTAAAAAATAACATTTTCCCATTCTGTTTTCCACACTAGCACCTAATGACATCTGTGCCATAAGTCAGAAGAATCTGACAAACAGTGCACAAAAGTCATGCACTTGATAACTTTATGAGGTGAACGGGTCCTGAACCAAAGCAAAATAGTTATGTCCATGTATAACTATGCAGGTAATTCACATCCAAGAAGATTTCATGCTTCGTCTTGCTCATAAGCCTCAATGAATGGCCCAATCGGGGCCTCAAACCATTTCTATTAATAGATGTTTCCAGAAACACAGAGGAAAGTGTTGATGGGGGCCTTCCCCTGCCTAAAGCAGGTCCATAAGTTACCTTCTACAAAGGCACCACGTTTTTCAAAGGGACCTATGAAGCAAGACCACATAAATAATTTACGTTCATGAACTTTTTTGGCAGGTCACCCGCAGAGGACACTGGCACGCCGCGTACCTGCTCTTGCTAGCACTTGGTTGGCCTGGTCGCTCATAAGCTGCGTTATTCTGGCTCGCAGCGCGTCAATGGTCTCCTGCATTGCTTTAATTCTCACACGCAGGTTGTTGTTCTCAGTTTGCAGCATAGCATTTTCATGAAACATGTCATTGATGCTTTCAACACCTTCTTCATCTATAATCCTCTTGCCCTTAAGAAAGTAAATTTATTTTATTTTGTTTTGTTTTTGTAACATACCTACATAGGACAGTTTTTTTAACTTGGCAAAAGTAATCCACAGATTTCTTAACTTTCCAAAAAATATAGGATAATGGTCTTTCAAAAGATTATTGCTAGTCTAGAGTCTAGAAAGTTTTCACAAAATTAGCATCTGGACAGATCTAATATAAGACGAGTCCTGCATAATTCCACCTTAGCCTGAAATAAATGTTCTTGAAGAAGTTAAGAAACGAAAAGATGATTCTTTGATTAGGACTCTCTTTCAAGCATAACAAAGGAAGAAAGCACTGTCTGGTAAACACATTTATTGATAAAAGCATCTGTCTTTATGTTAGCATTCATTGATGCATCCCAAAAAATATTATCTAATACTTTTTAAAACATCTGCTAATCATGGAAATTAGGAGTGCTGTATAAATTACGATTATCGCTCTTTTACAAGAAGTGAAGTAGCCAAAAGAAAAAAAAGGTTATAGAACCATAATTATGTGAAAACAGAAGAAATACTAGAAAGATGCACTTACTGTTCTAGAAAGATGCACTTACTGTTTTGTATTCCATGAGTTCCATCTGCAGCCGTGTAATCTCGCTGCGCAAAGCATTTATTTGTTGACTAGCCCTATCCTGATTAACCATCACCTTGTTCTTGATGTTTCGTGCCCGATTGGCATACTTCAGTGTGTTCAAGGTTTCCATGAAGTCTCGATCCGAAGGGCTCACGCACGCTATCATGAGGGTTTGACTGCAAGTCACAAACACAGGTCAGCTTCACAAATCAAGACAACAAAAAGAAAAGCAGAGACAGAGTAATAGATCTTCAAGTAGAAAGTGAAACAGGAGAAGCGACTTCAAATCACTTGTGAGAATTTTCACTCTCCTACTCACTAGCAAAAACAGTCAACCATGAAGTTCCAGCTTCGTTATGTTTTATCATCTTAGTGTAACACTGGAGATGATAGATCATTAACTGTGTATATGTATATAAAATGATAAAAGCAACTTTTATCATTTATTTTCCAGAAAATCTTTTCAAGGAGAATTTACTTCTCCTGATCATGTCTAAACTGGAATTTAAGCACTTAAAATCACTCTAGAGTCCCAAACATTGATCTGGATCATCCAGTTTTCAAGCACTACCTATTCTCATTGATTCATGAAGCACCTTATTCTGAAAAGTACTAAAATGCTACCTTCAGAATGCAACCTTCAGTTGTCCATGTGTGCTCAGAGATGCCTAAGGCAGCTGCGACCCACCTAGGGAGTCCTGAATTGCCTGAATTCTTCAGCTGTGAATTATCTCCAGTTCTCCAATAGAAGCCTCTAAGTCGGTATGCATCTCCCCAGTTCATCTGCTCATAACTGAGTTTACCAAAATTCATTAAAAAAATTAATTAATTCTTGCCTTGTGTTTTAAACACTCAATCAGGAGAGGGCTGAATCGGGAATCCCCCCAAGCTCCCTGGAAAGGAGGAGAACAGCCCTGAGGGGCTTCAATCAGAACCCTTGTTTAGCTATGGTGGTAGCATGTGGTGGAGGTGCCTACAGGCCCTACATTCTCAACAGATGGAGGGAAATACCAAATTTGAGGGACTGGACCTCCCACCTCTCTGTCAAGCTACAGGGGCCCCTGCTCCTCGTTGCTGTCTGTGCAGCACGGGTGGCCGTGCTGGTGAACGCGCTGCCTCCAGGGCCATGGAGCAACAGGTGGATTAGGCAGACTGAATCCTGATGTTCATCTTATGTAATTTCAGATTTAAACAACCTAATTACAGCACCTCTTTGTGAGGCCAACCATTATCTTCACCATACACATTGGGAAACTAAACTGAGAGAACAACACGCCCGAGGATAAGAAAGATTCAGGGTTTCAAGACTGGAATTCACTGCTTTGCCTCAGCCCTCCCCTGTCCCTCCGTGTCAAGCTGCTACACCTCAGTTCTACCGATAAAAAGAGGCCACACTAAGAATTTTAAATTCCATCAGAACTACTTGCATTTTCCCCCATCTACTGATTCTGTTAGCGGTCCTGAACACTGAATAACTTGAACTCTGCTTTCCAATAAGAATTTTATAGTGATTATTTTTTGGACGCTGTCAAGTCTACTCCCTTCTTTCACTATCTGTTTAAACTCAAAAGAAAAGGAAAAATCCATGGACTTAAGGAATTTAATAAAATTTTCATTTTTCCTATGATTAGTTACAAAATCCTTTCAAAAAAAATACAGCACTCCATATTTTACCTTAATACGCTTTCAAATACCACACGTATCTATGTGCTGCTTCAGAACTGCTACAGCATTACACCTAGATCAGGATTATGATCAGGAACAGAACACAACACTTTCACCAGTGCCAGCTCCGGTTTCACTACAAGCTAACAGGAATCACAGGTTCACAGCAGCGTTGAGGTTGGAAGGGTTGATCTCTGCAGATGTAGTCCAAACACCCTGCTCAGACAGGGTCACCCACAGCACGTTGCCCAGGACCATGTCCAGACAGCTTATGGATATCGCCACAACCTTTCAGTCACCCTCCCAGTAAGATTTTCCTCACATTCAGACAGAACTTCCAGATCATCAGAGGCCCGATGCCTCTTATCCTACTGCTGGTCACCACTGAGAAGAGTCTGACCCCATCCCTGACACCCGTCCTTCACGTACTCATACACACTGATAAGATTCCTCTTGGGCTTCTCTTCTCCAGGCTGAAGCATCTCAGCTCTCTCAGCCTTTCCTCATGTAAGAGGCATTCCACTCTCTTCACCATCCTTGCTGTCCTCCATTGGACTCGCTCCAGTAGTTTTATGTCTCTCTTGTACTGGGGAGCCCTGAATTAGAGACAGTATTCCAGATGTGGAGTACTCCAGGATTATCTTCTCTGACCTGCTGGCAATGCTCTTCCTAAAGCAGCCCAGGACACCACAGGCCTTCTTGGACACAAGGGCACATTGCAGCGGTCAACCTGCTGTCTGACAAGTCCTTCTCCACAGAAGCTGCTTTCCAGAAGGTCAGTCTGTAATGGTCAGAGGGTTAGTCCTTGCTATGGTGTGGGACCCTGCACTTATCTTCATTGACCTTCATGAAGTTCCTCTCTGTCCATCTCCACACTCTGTCTGGGTACGGCCTTCTTGGGTATCATCTGGGTTTTGTATCATCAGCCATCTTGCTGAGCATGGACTCCCTTGATCCAGATCATGGATGAAGAGCTTGAACAAGATCCAGAACTGGACCAGCACTGCCCCCTGAGGCACACTGCTGCCTACAGGCCTCCAGCTGGACTGCCCCATTGAGCACACGCCTCTGTGCTCTGCCATTCAGTTGTCAATCCACCTCTCTGCCTTGCTTATCCCACCCTTCCTGAGCTTGCCTGTGAGGATGTTAGAGAAGACAAGGTCAAAACTAGTGAACATCAGCTGCTTTCCCCTCATCTCTCCAGCTAGTCAGCGGGTTAAGCGCGATTTCCCTCTGGTAAATCCATGCTGACTGTTATCACTACCAGTAAGTCTCTTTCAGTATTTACAAAGAGAAAGGATAATATGGACTGTAATATCTACAGTGGCACTTGGAAAGCTATGGAACAGGCTAAAAGAAATCCATTAATCTGTTTTCCCAGAAGAAAATAAAAATGCATCTTTACTAAAACTTAGCCTTCTCACCTTTTTTCGGTAGCTAAAGCATTATTAAGGAATTATTTATATTGTGTTACAACGTATATTCCTTCCTTAATAGCAAAGTGCTAATTTTACCTGCCTTATGATTTATATTTTATACATAAAAATATGTCGGTTTTGCCTTCCCACATACAAATTTAATATCAGTCATAAACAGCCTTGTAAATGCTCTGGAATTGCAATCTGCACAACGTACACTGAAATATGTGATTTCTCCCTGAAGGACAGGAGGGGGAGCAGCTGAACTTTATGATAGGAAAATATTTTGGAATCAAGATATTATTTCATTAGAACTGTAATTTTACAACTCTTTTGAAAAGTTCTCATTAGTCAATGTATTTCATATAAAATTTAATTGATAATTATATTCATAACTAGCTAATATCAGAAAGAGCTGAGAATAGTCATTGTTTTCATTTCTGTTGATTTCCTGTTACTGGATTTCTTTCTCCCTTAAAATCTCTTGAAAATTTTAGTCATTACTCCACTTATCCGGCTCCTTAATTTTCTCAGAATGCTGCAAGATATTGCTGGAATTGCACAGAACAGAGCTATGATTTAAGGATTCTCTTCTGCTTATTCTTTTGTGAAATGCTCAGAATACTTTCTGCCCTCCTCCAGACAGCAGTCATTTCAGATTGAATAAAGCTACCACCTTGTTAAAACGTGCTCCGCTCCCTTTTGCATTTCTACATGTTAATGCTACAGGTTTTCTTAGACAAAACTTCCAGAGCTGAAGTTTATGTCTCTGTGCAACATACGTAGACAGCAGGTTCATGCAGACAATTCAGGAGATACGGTAAGGTTGTTTTTTATGAGAGTATAATTCAGCGTAAGATAAATGGACATAGGCATAAAACATGGTAGGATACACAACCTCTTCGTTTAATGAAAAAGATACCCTTTTTTAGTGCATGGAAAACCTGATGTCGCTCATTCGACACTCCTGTGTGGGTGGTGTGAGCAGAGGGTGAAGGTGAGTCGGTGCTTGGGGAGAGCATGACCCCAACAAGCCAACCCAGTTTGCTAATCTGGCTGGTGCACCCAAGTTAGCAGATGGCAACCTGCCCTGACACACACTACCAAAAGCCCAAGGAGAGGCACTAGTCAACAGCACAGCTTTCCTGGGAGGTAGCCTCACATCTAAATGATCATCAATGCCTGGGTAGAAACACTGCTCACTTTTAGGACCTCACTTGGCTCTTACGGGGCATAGTTTAATCAGATAGGCAACATGGATGATTACTTTAAAAGATGAAATGCACTTATTTATTTAGATGCACAGTTTCATATTGCCCAAGTCTTAATCCTTCATTTGCATCACAGACATCTCCACAGTAACTAATCTGAATGATGATGAAGGCCTGGCCAGAGAAATAAGTGAGGGCATATGGTAACAGGGAGGACAGGGCAAGCAAAACCCCACTGTCAGACAGCTGCAAGACCCAGGAGCATTCAGAAATTCAAGCGTAAAACCTTGTGATGATGACTGACTAAAATAAAATAAAATGAAATAAAATAACCACTAATAATAGAAGAGATATTTTTGCCATATCACCCTATCACAAGCAAATGCACAGCCTTGACCCATGCAGATGACACTTTGCGAACCTGCCTCAGAGGGAGGGAAAAATGCACATGAAGGGGAAACAAGGAAATTGGTTACAAAAAAAATAAAGAAGGGAATATATCCTAATAGAAATTAGAGCCTAAGAGAAGTTATAATGGCAATAGTTAGACGAAATTCTCAAGGGAGGATTACAATAAAATACTACCAGGATTTTTAGATGACATTCTACAGTATTTTATAACTGTACAAAGAAGGACATACTTGCCTCCTCCACATTATTATATTGTAATATATCAAATGCAACCATTAATTAAGATAAGCTCCTTAAAAAAAATAAATCTCTGCTTGAAGCAAAAAGACATTATGGCTTTAAAGTACGATCTAATTAATAAGGCTGTGACACAGTAAAGTTTAAATACTTAAAATCTAAAGATGTCTCAATGTAAAGGACTCACCCTTTAACTGGAAAGGGAAATTCCTAAATAACTGGAAGCTTCAGGTCTAATAACCTACAATAGCAGTGAAAAAAAAAAACCTCTTTCCTGCATTGACAGAATTTTCTATTGAGACTATAATTTGTTTTTGGAACCTCTACCCAAAGAACTATTTTTTCAAGACCGTGCATTCATCCACACTCATTCACAATGACATATGTAAAATGTTCCAGTTTTCATACCTGTTTCCCCCAAGAGAATCTTGAAGGAGTCTTGTAAGTTTTGAATCTCTATATGGTACATGAGTTGCCTTCTTACTTTTATCTCCCAGTGCACTTATTACATTGCCAAGTGCCAGCTATAAAATACCAAACCATGTAACACACAAGTTAGAAGCAGTTCTTAAGGAGCTTTATTTTAAAATCATCTATAAACAGAAAAAAAAATGCCCATAAAAATTAACATAAAAAAACAAATGATTCTTACAACCTGGAATCTTCAAGAATAGACAGATTAACACAATTTATGTACACTGCTTACTGATCAGTCACAAATATTTACTTTTGATGATGACTAAAGCCTACATTTATTTCTAACAGTAGCTAAATTAAAAAAGAAAGTATCGAATTTGCTTTATGTAGAAGTTAGAATAATATATGCGGTGCTAATATGAACAAACAGGATGTCCTGCCTCTACAGATATGAAATACAATGCGTGAGGAAAATCTAAATATTTAAGGCTTGAAATTATGCAGTTTAAGAAAATTTTATTGTGTTGCTAGGCTGGATCTAATTAGCATTTTTAAACAGCCTAATATTTTGCTTCTGTAAAACTATGCAGCTTCACGTGCTTCATAACCAACTCATGAGCCAAACTGAAGAACATTCCTCTAGATGGCACACTAGACAGCCAGTTCTTAATAATTCAGTCTCAAATATGGTTTTGCTATATCCAACAGTTGTAAAACTGTGTATACACTACATTCTGCAAATGCTTTAAAGTAAATCCTTTAAATCTCTTCCACTGCATGTTTTCAAAGGAAGTTAAGAGGGTTTAAGTTCATTGTAAATGAAAGTTTTGTGATCATATAAAACACTACTTTTGCCATGCTGATTTTCACCCTTGTGCCTTCCACATCACTTATTTAAAGCTCCATTTACTTTAGTTAACAACCTAAACTTTCCTTTGTTTCTGGTTTATATCAAAGATGAAACTGAACTAAGTTCTCTTCCACAGGCTATCGAATATAGCCTGTGATGGTGAGAGAACTGGAATAATGTTCTGGGCTCAGAATACCTCTCTAGTACTAGAAATTAGGGGGAAAAAGTGACTATTTAAAGACATGTTTCCACACGTAAAATGAATTTATGTTACTGAGTTTGTAATACAGAATTGCACAGAGCCTCGGCAAGCCAAGCTGTTCCAAATGAAGGGCCAAAAGCACAATCTTGACTGATAATCATATTTTTTTAGTGTAGTTACAATAAAACATTTAATACAGTTAATTAAAAAACTTCATGAAGAATACAATATAACAAGACCAAAAATATAAGTTGATGCTATCAACTTAAAAATTATCTTTCCACTTACAAATGTTTTGCCCCAGGTTGTTTCACTACACACAGCAATTATAAAAGAGAAGAGCTATTTCTCAAACAGTTCAGCTTTTGTCACCCATAGTTTACATGCCTGTACCCCTTGTAAACTGTTTGTAATCTTCTCTAATCGTTTGGGATTTTTATACAACAAGAGATGAAAGGGAATCTATAGTATATTTTAAAAGGTAGAGTAACTAACTCTGTTTTACAACAGTTAGAAGTTACCAGCTGGAATCTAGTGTAACCCAGAAAGTGTTAGTAAGCCAAAATCTGGTAAGATTAAGTGTATACTCTCATGGTTCATGCCATAGTTCTTGTCCTGTACCTGATGTATTTTCTACTTCAGGGATTACCAAAAACAAGTGATCCAAAAAGGAAGAGAAGATGCTACCAAGGGCATATAGAAACAAATTCTTAATCTTACTAATCCACAGTTGATGGAAATGCCTTCCTTTGCCCTTTCTCCTGTGGCTCCCGTTCGCTTCAGCCTTTCAGATCCTGCTAGATCAACAAAATGAAACTTGGCAGTAAGAGTTTCAAACTCATTCATCTGAGAGGATTCAGATATTATCCTGTTATCTGTGGCATTATCCTGAAATAAAGAAAGAATCCATAAATATTGGAAAGGTCTTTCACATTAACGTATCTCATTGCAAAGTTCAATCCACAGTCATTTTACAATAGCTATTCTTTATATCTGCCTCCTCCCTTTACTAATTTTCTTTAATAAGAGAATTTCCTAAAAATTGTCTTCATTTTGTCATAAACATCACTCTTCAATACACCATTCCATATGCATAACATTTTTAAGTACTGGGTACAATGTCCTTTGATAGCGGAAAAAATACATATACTAAGAAATACAAAAGAGGTCATCGAGGAGGACAATAGTATTTGCATCTCTCCCAAAATAAGTCTTAAATCAATTGTCAGAGGACAAAGCCTTCTGAAAAGGGTGGGGGGAAATGCTTAGTCTGTAGATCTGCAAAACAATTAAGAGATTTTGTAACTCCCATCATAATTTTCCCTGTTCCATGAGTCTGCCTTTTTTTTTCCCTTTTCTTCTCCCTCCATTTCATTTTTTTAAAAAGTCATCTCAGCAACCAAGCGTTCTGCCAGCACTTCTGACTTGGCCAGGAAAGAAGGACAGGGAAGGAACAAGGGGGAAAGAGGCGGTCCTGTTGTTTTCTTTCCAAGTAAGTTGCAGTTACTGGCTGTTCATTCATCCTAGCATCTAGTCAGCCTCTTTCCATTTGACTTCCCAAAGCGCAGGGCTAAAAATATCCTCTTTCATCAGATAAACCTAATGCTTGCCTCTTAGGGTAGCTTTATTTTACTCCCAGCGTTGTTAGACCTGTTGTTGTGAAAGCACCACTGAACAGAAGGGAAACATCTTTAAACTACTCACTCTTTAAACTAGTCACTTCTTGGCCTTCCTATACAACGTAGGCAAATTCTACCTATCTTCCACGTAATAGGCACATATCTGGTGTTTATTACTTAAAATTTATTCGCGCAATCCGTTCTCCAAACTTTATTAGGAATTTCTATTACAATCAGCACGTGTTTTTTCTTAAAGAAAAGAATAACACACCCAGGTGTTCAATGGCAGAGGTCTTTATATACCCTTGATGGACCAGCTAAGAGCTCCCTTTGCGACTACAAGGAGCATCCTGTGTGCTTGCAGACCCAGCCATTCCCACATGTTGTTTAAGCAATTCCCTTGGGCAGCTCCTGCAGGAGGAGGAGGGCTACACACCGTTCCGACGGCCTCTGCTTGCCGATATCCGACCGCTGCGCTGCCGCCGGCTGGTGCTCCCTCCTCCCTGTCCTCAGGGCCCTCAACTCGGGCATCCTTTCACTGGGGCTAATTTAGCAAATCACAGGGATGTCCAGAAGCTTCTCGGAAGCGCTGACTGTGCAAACGCAGCAAGAGAAGAAGCTCTTGTCCCGCCGCAGCGCGGCTGCCTGCCCAGCCGGGCATGAGCCGCCAGGCCCTTTCTTATGCAAGGTGCCAGGCACCTTAATTAAATATATATAATATATATTAGTGTAACACACCAAGCTTCAGACTCCTGTGCTTCCTCAACTTCCCACTTTCTCCCTGTTGGGTATCAATACATCATCAAGAATATTCACCACTTGCAGTTAGTTGACTGCCAGTTTAAGCCAAATAACTACTAACATACTTAAAAATGCTTTCCCAATAAAAGACAAATTATATTTTAACTTTCTTCCGTATGTTGCAATAAGATACTGGAGAAAATGGGCAAGTTCATGTAAGAAGGATAGATTTTATTGTTGCCTCTGGCTAGAAGCTGGTTACATATGCACTGATTAAATCAAGTTATTATAATGCTTAGCAAATTCATTGAGTGTGATGACTACAGTAGCATCTTTACTAAATGCAACTCGAATGGCAGTGGATGAAAAAGCAATATTCTGAAAAACGGATACTCAAGTGATGTTTAGTAACAGCCAAGATACGTACAGTGTTAAACGCAGGGCAAACTCTGGTTTGACATAAGTGGATGGTAAAGATAGCATGAGACCGCGAGCTCTGAACATTCATCTGAGTACTGGCAGTGGTTCGAGACAAAGCGCCCAGCTTCAGGCATTGCATCATCTAGAAGGAAGAGAAGAAGCACATCTCATCGTCTGCCATTAAATAATCAAGAAGTGTCCAATGTAATAAACGTTCCAGTAACTTATTAGATTGTTTTTGATAGAAGCTGTTTTTAATTTGTCATTGTTTCAGTTCCTGTACATCAAATGCAAAGATTTTCATATCTATTTTCATAAATAAAGTTTTTTGGGGCTCTTCAAAGAAATCAATTAAATCTTCATTCTTTGTATCCCTCTTTCTACTGTTCTCTGAGAGTAACATGAAACTTTTTCATTTACCTATGGCAAAATTGTACTCCCATACAATCACTGACATTTGTATTCAGATCCACAAGAACAGCAGTTTATATCCTATCAGTTACTTCGGAAAGCTTTGCTGCCACAGTAAAAATAAACTATATGATATTTGGGAGGGTAGCTTTACATATATGCCAAATATTAACTCTCAGTGGAACTGCCCTGTTAGTATAAGGTTGTTTCTAGCATTAAATGGAAAACGCTTAGTCTCAAAGATGAGATTTAAATCAATATGATACAGTGTTTTATTGATTGCACAGTATCAATACAATACAGTAAAGAAAAAATCAAGTACACTTTACAGAAGTTGTATGTGAAGCACAAAGCTCTGCTTATGCTAAAAAGAATAAAAACTGTAGATATTTGCTTCTCTTTTGCCTGCTGATTTTTTTTCTGGAACTAAAGTTTGACTTAAAATTATCCCTGTCCCAGCAACAAACAAGAATGAGAAAGACATGAAGGTTTTATTGACTTTTATCACAACATATAGACAATACTTCCTTTGAAATCACATTCAGCATGCTATAGAATAATTCATTTTTTATGATCACCTCCGATTCTCCATTCACAGTGCGGGTTGTAACTCCCACTGTATAAATACCTCCAGCCGAATCTTCATGTATTTTGATATTCGATTTTTTATTCTTTGCATCAATATCACGTGTGGTATCAAACAGGTCAAGAATTTCTTCATTGTAAAGCTAAGGAGAATTTAAGAAAAAAAAAGCAAAAAGTTAATTTCAAAACAATTCCTCTAGAAACCAATGAAATCTATGCATGACACAGACATTCTAAAAATTTACCACAAGTGTAGGCTCTCAATAAGCTGGAAGAGCTTCAATGTCTTCACTCATTGATACCAACTCATAACAGCAGGGCTTAGCCCGGAGTGATTAAATCAGTAATTAAAGTTCCGAGGTAAAGGCCAAAGGACCACTCTAAGAAGTTGGCATAAATTTAATACACTTTATTATACACTGAAAGTCTCTTGGTAAAAAAAAAAAAAATCCACCTATGCACACAGATGCCACAAATTAAAGAGAGAATCCTTATAATGTACCAGTAATTGCCTGGGATGTACAGGCCTATCTTGCTCAAGAGCTGGCAGGAAAGCGAGGAGGTAGAAGGGACTTCATGGGACTGAAAGGAAAGTCACCAGCAAACAGCAGAAACTGCTCTTGATAATTCTTGAAATTATCCAGCTGTCAGACTTGAAAGTTGTTCTAAAATAGAGATTTCCTTCATCTATCTCAGGTGACTCAATTCTTTATGCAACCCAGCACTAATGGCAGATATGAAGTTTGAGAAGAAAAAGGTTTTCATGTACTTGCTGATACAAGAGCAGTACAAAAACACTTAACTAATCAGAAAAGGTTTTTTTTTCCTGAAAATCTCTAACTTCAGTGCAGCAGAAAAACCATCTTTTTAAGGGAAAAGCCACCACACTTCATTTAACCTTGCTCTAAAGCCTAAACACAGGCTTTAGTAAGTACATTTCACCTGAATTATGTTGCAATTTAGCTGCAACAACCCTCCATAGGGGTAACAATGTAACATTCAACTATTGGTCTGTCTTCCAGGACTCTCAGTCTCAGCAACATTTGCACCCTTTCGACACAAAAACCCGAAATTCAGCAATTGCCCGAGTGAAACGCTTGGTTATTGCTCACGTAGTAGCTGCCTAAGTATTAACCGGAGGGGAGCTCCCTGGTGCTCTGTGGGGGGAGCCCAGCCCGCATCCCCCTCGCCAGGCTCACGCTTCCACGCAAACACGAGCCAGAGCTCCAGCATCTCCGCAGAAAGTTAACAGCGACACGGGCACGCACGAGTGCTAAACAATGCCAGCTTGTTAATCCTTAAAGAATTAAAACATATGACTAGCGTGCCTCGTTTGCCTCAGCAGTAATAAATCCAGCAGCTTTTCCCTTGGGTAACAGAAGAACTTTCCCTTTAAAACAGCAAAATAAAGTTGCAAAACACTGCATTAAGCAACATTCATTTATAACAGATTCTTCCTAAAATGCTTCTCCTTCCCGGTATGGATTAAGTAACAGATTTTGCAGTTTGGTAGTGAATATAAATGTTAAGCCCAAACCAAATCAGTTTAACACTCAGTTACACTGACAGGAGACGCAGCATAAAAGCTGCAAGACTTAAACCAGCAGGTGTTTCAGACACGGAAGACCACAGGTATTAGGGCTTCTTTTACCAGGAGCTGTGCTTACAAAAACAAAGGCAACAGTTTTTCCACTGCAGAAACCTTAAACTAGGCTCAGGACCCACTGAAAGAAGAAACAGCAACACAGAAATCTAATCCTAAACCACTAAGGATCACAATAAATAAATAAATAACCTCTTTCTATGCTAGGTTTATTGTTTTATCAAAGAAAGTTAACGCAGCTTTCTAATGAACAGATTTTGAAAGCTAAAAAAAAAAAAAATTCCATGGCCAAATTACACAAGAAGAGAAAGTATGGCTCACTGTTCAAAGGCATAAAATATAGCTGATTTTATAAGTTACTTGCTTTGAAGTTTGGGGAAGAAATACAAAGCAGCAGCAACAACAGAGCCTGTAAATAAATGTGTGCCATAGAAAAGGGTAAGTGACGCTTCTTACAACGGTTTCTACACCTTGAAATAACTCTGTAAAGGAAGCTTCTAAAGTTACTGGAATAAGATTAAAAATGACTCTTCAATTTATAAAAAGAGCCAAAGGAAACCTCATAGTTTCCTTTTGAAATCATGAAAATTAATTAAAATGTCTTGTGGGAGAAGATAGAGTGTAAAAAGCAGTAACCAGTAAAAACTGTTTTATTGGCTTCCCCAAAAATGTATGAGCAGTTATATATACAAATACATAGCATATTTACCTCCAAGAACTGTGCATTCACTTTAAAATCTGGAGGTGGGAGTCCTTGATTAATAGCAGCTTGTTTTTTTTCTTCAATACATCTAAAAAGATGCTTAACAGCACGTGATATAATGCCCTGTTCCTCCTCTGTAATGTTGACATCAAATCCAGTTCCCATGGTGTATGTTTTCCCAGCACCTGTCTGGATTGAAAGAGTGGTCACTCTCACCGCAAAGAACAGCAGTCTGTGAAAACTAGTGCTAGGGAGAGACCAAGTCACACTTATTTTTACAACATTAGCATGCACATGTAGAATAGGTGACTTTGAAAATATGGATAAATGGTCTAAGTTAGACAAATTCTACTGTTTATCCCCAGTCAGACCCAAGGCAGGCAAGGACCCATTCAATCTTTCCTAACCTTTTCCTTACAAGATTTCTCTAAGCTGCTTACACGAGGCTTGAGCTGACATCTCTGAGGTCAAAAGAATAGTTAATGTTTTCAACTGAGACTAATTAAAGCACACATTCCAAATGTAATATCATAATTTGCAATTCTTCATTGAAGCAGATCAAATGCCGCTAATTATGATGTCTGAATATCTCAGGTAGAAAATTACCATTGTTTTCCTTTTACAGACAGCGCCTCAGAATACAAGCAGGCTGCACCTTCACTAGCAAAAATCCTTAATTAAAAGCAAAGTCTTACAGAAGACAGGGTGGTGCTGAGTTTTCACTTAATTAGTGGGTCAAGTCTAAGACAAGAATAGCATCACACAATTGATTATAATCAAGTGAACTAGATCTGCAAACTGCTTTGTTTCACTAGGACTAGACTTAACCTCACTAACTTGAGATCTGTCATTTAACATGGTCAAACTATCTGAATTAACTGAATAAATGGCTAATTGGTGTTGCTGCTTTAGGGATGAATTCAGTAAATATATGGACTCATGCTCCTGTCAACATTACAATCAATTCAAATTTACTACATATGTATTTTTGTTGAATTTCAGTTGCCATCCTGCACAGACAGGCACCCAAACAAACTCATAAACAGTCTTCTAGAGAATGTCTTGTTTAAAATAAAACCAAGACACAAAAAAAATAGGTCAATGAATTCTGAAACTTAAAAGACAAAGATGAGCTTAAAAAAAAATGTTTATGCTTACTCCAAAATAAATACTTCAAATGAGGTTGTAAAGCTTACTTGGCCATATGCAAAGACAGTGGCATTATATCCTTCAAAACAACCTTCAATCAATTTTTCGATACACTGTATATAGATTTCTTCTTGCTGAGAGTCAATGTTGAACACGTAGTCGAAAGTGAAGGCCTTGTCTTTCCCCAGGAACACCTGAGGCTCTCCAGGCGTGACGGATGTACAAATATGGCATCCTTCAATCTTCTCTTTGGCTAGCTGTGGTCTAATTCTATTTAAGAAAAGACAAAAAGAATGTTATAGCTCTCGTCATTAAAAGATGGCCATATAAATAACACAAATAATATCCAAAAGGAATTTCTCACTGAAAGAAAAAAAATGAAATAATAATTTTTCATCAAGCCAGGAAACTTCCAGCCATCTGGACAGAACAGACCATATCAGAGCTCCACTCATACAAACAACACAATCTTTCTCGAAGGCTTATCCACCAACATCAAGCTGATGACCTGTCTAGAAGCCTGAATGTTTCAGTAGTATAAGATGCGCTGCTGGAGAGCAACTTGCACAATCTGTTTCAGCTTTCACCCAAATTTTCTAGTTTTATCAGACAACTTCCTGCTTTCACTGTAAAAAAGGGTTTTCAGCAATGAAAATTAAAAATACAGGGTAGTTCAAACTCAAGTAGTAATTTAGAAGCAGGGACTCCCAAAGCCTATGCAGCATCTTAAACAAAAACTCCTTACTATAATAGCAAGGGAAGGGCCCACGTTTCTTCCTTTCTTTGAACTGAAAGGAATTTTGCCATAGCAAGAACACCTCAGTGAAACATTTCACTTCATTAAGGTGACAGATCTTCAGAGGGAAAAAAAAAAAGGACAAGTTCTAAAAATAAGAATGTCTCAATTCCGCAGTATTTCTCATTGAAACAAATTTCAATTTTTACTTCAGTTTGTCCATTTTTTTTATATATATAAACATATCCATTCTGATCGTCTTGTATTTTATAGTTTTCAGTTCCTCTGTATTCTTAAAACTCATACAGTACTGTCAAAATTGAATTCACATACCTAGGTCTGTGACTAAAGATGACTGTGGAAGCCTGTAACTTTCTCTTTTTTTTCTTTATTGATTAACTAGAAGAAAGTTTAAAAGATTAACTAGAAGAAAAACTCTAGCCAACATTATTCCAGCTGTTTAAAAAACAAAATCACTGAATTATTACTTGAACATACATAAAGTACTTCCAAGTTCTCAGAGCAAAACCAAGGTTAACACATATATAGATTAAGAACAGCAGACAACAAATACGGTTACATAAAAGGGCAATGAAACATCAGTGATAGGGCTACCCATAGAACAAAATGATGGAATATTACCTACAGATTCTCCATTTAATTGAAACTTCAAGTACCTCTATTTACCTCAGTGTTGTTACTTTCAGTTATACAAGATCTAAGTTGAAGGTCTATACATGTGTATATATATATGTCATATTTAAAGGCACATAATCACCTCATGCTGAGCCTGCATTAGTGTTTTGGCTTGGACCGGCTGTGTCTCCCAACAACTCTGCTCACCTACCACATCTCGGTCTGGATTGCAGACTAGTTTCACTGTCCAGAAATCACATCCCCACCAGAGGAAACAAATCCAAAGCCCTCCATGCCAGGCAGACATGATACTTGTTCCAAAAACCTAATGGGGAAACATAAGGGTCCCAAGCGACCTGCTGATCTACTGCTAGACGTGCCAGAGCACTTGCTGAGCTGGAGAGGCCATCTCTAGCAATGCTGAGTGATGAATAGGCTGTGGAAGACCAATTCAAATCACACCACCACACAGATACTTCAATTCAATTAGGAAATGCCCTGTATGGATGTCACCAAACATGGTGCACCAGCTTTTTTATTGCAGACAAGAAACTGTTCACCCAAGGATGTGCATTGCTACCAGGAGAGCTTTTCAAAGTTAGGATTCAAAAGGCTTCATATCCCAGTATGTGGCACTTCAGAGAACAGCTCTAATTTATTTATAAGGTTTTCTATACATAAATTCCCTTATAGAAAGTTCACATATACGAGGAGATGTCTCCCTCCTAGCATTCCCTCTAGGAGACAGTGGAAATTAAACAATCCTTTGAAAATATCATTAAGGGACCAATTACAAGATGTGTAAGAAGTAGTTTTCTCAGTCAGAAAAAAAAGAGGGGGGAAATAAATATTCTATAAAGCATATTTGCATTTAAGGACACAAATTTTTTAATATAGGTCACAGACTTTCTCTGTCATGCATAATCATTAGCATAAGCTTTTTCTTTAAAAGAAATGAGAATGCTAAACAATTCAAGAGTTAAAGCTTCCTCACTATCCTACAACTTAGTCCACTAGTAGCTGTTTCCACTAATTCCAAAACTTGAAGAATATGTATATAAACATGTAGGAAAAGTTGCTTTGCTGTAAATTAATGCACATTTTGTAATAAAGCAGCTTTTATTTCTAGGTAGAGACAGCCTTCAAAGAGAAATTCATATGTCTTCCCTAAAAGCACTCTGCACAGACAGAAAACTGAGTTAATAAAACATAGACTGCCACCTACAACACTTCAAAGTTAGAAAATGACAGCAAGATAGGTCTTTAAAAACTGTTCCATTTATTTTACTGTCTTATATTTCAATGCCTAGAAGTCAGCAAGAGGTCAAGTTTTTTTAAGACTAGATACTCTTATGCTCTCAGTGATCCAGAGCAGACAGCACAAAAGCAGCCAGTTGTTCTTCCAGGTATGAACTGTGAGGACTTCTACAGCTCCCCAGGTGCTTTGCACATTTGTCTTCCAATATAGTAAAAACTAACAACGACTTTTCTAAAAATCAAAAAGGAAACCACACTTTCACTTATGAAACAAAACAGCCTTTTATGTATTTCAAAAGACTAATTTCCACCTCAATTCTGAAAAGCTTTTAGTACTGACTTGTAGAATGAAGGCTGGAAACTAAGCAAAAATATAAAGAATTTTGTTCACATATTTTCATTGTCTAGTTTAAAAAAAAAGAAAAAAAAAAAGGTCCCAAATTATCTTTTGACACTGAGGAATTAGTGCTATTGGCACAGATGTCAATTAATTCTTTCCCTTTTCCAAAACTAAGTAAAGACTTAGAATGACCAGAGAGGAACAGTATTCCTAAAACACCCATGGTTTACAGGATAAATCTGGGGGGTTACAGGGCAGACAAGGAAGCAGTTTTGACATTAGCCTGCAAAGACCTCTTGTGAGTTCCCTGGTCTGCAACTGGGCGATAAATCCCAGCCCTCTGCTACTGTAAAACCCAACATAAGGTCAGATGCAAGTGCTCTGTGGGTGTGGAGCCACATCTCAATAAGATGCTATTCTGGAGACCAGCTGAACTGATGAAACTCTGCGCCAGAACTAGCAGCTGTCACTGGATCAAGTACTTCCACTAGGGTTCAAGACAGCATCCAGAGACACAGTGGTGATGAATGACCGTGTCCTTCTTCCCTGGCTTGCCGCTAAAGCTGAAGGAAGGGCTATAAGAACAGTGCTGCATCAAACACATGCAACACCAAAAAGATCCAAAACAGAACAAGACCTGGTGAAGAAAGCTGCTCCCTGAAGTAGCTCCTTTCTCATTTCAAAATGGTTCTTCACTAGAGAGTACATATTTTAATCACCCAAACTTCTTTTAGCAACATAATGTAACTTCTTGCCTAGCCAAGAGCCTCAGATGGAGTACTTTGTGCTCTGAGACCTGCACAATTTCTGGTGGAGTGTTTTGCTATTATAGGCTCTCACTATTATAGGTGGTACCCATGCCTTAAAATGTGGGGGAAAAAAGCTCTTTTTAGTCATCTCTCCTTGCCAACTCCTAGCCTGGCAGTCTGTGATTTTTCTACAGGACCAATAATATGGCGTCACCCATTTCATTTTCTACATGCTCTATCTCACCCGTTCTTCTGGCTGCTCTTAATCGTACACAACCAGGTTTCTTCTACCCACTCCCAGGCACCTCTCTGTTGAGGTGGCAGCTTCCCAAGTGACACTTTGCCCTGCATCCTTCCCTCAGAAGCACAAACACACCCAGGTGCTGTTGATGCTCAGTGCACTGTGCAGGGCCTGCAGGCTGCGCACATGAAACTTAATCCCCTAAATCTACTCTGGCTCAGCACCCTGGGACAAGCTACCTAATTGGGACGGCTAAAATAGCACAGTGCCACAGTAATGCACTGTACTGCCCTGGAATTAATCTCTCTCAGCAGAATGGGTGCATTATGACTCGGCTAAAAACAACGTCAGCTAGGAAAGATCCCCTGATTCTACCGTTTAGGGACTGCTGCAATCGCCTGACATACGCAGTACATCCGACTTCCCGGCATTAATTCCTGCTTGAACTAGAACATCAAATCTTTTCAAAAAGTGCACTCTCAATTCATTTCCAGGGATAAAAAATTGGCCTGATGATTAAAACAAAAAGAATCCTTTCAGCCACTGACCAGTTTGACACCCCCGCCTGATCAGATAACTCCTTGTTACCTAGTTGTCCTTGCAGGAGTTTCCCTGCAGCTAGCAGACCACGATGAATTCATGCCTTAGTTTCCTGTTTGGCATGCACTGAACAGGCCAAGCTCGGTGTATTTTCTAGTTTGCAGCTCCATGTGAAATATTACAGCCATTGCTCTCCTGTAATGAGGGGCACTTGTCACAACGGTTGCCTCATCCTGCCTCAGCAGCTCCACAGAACAGCAGTAAGGCCTTCTAAGAGTAACCTACAAATGGGAAAGCGTCAAATATTTTTACTAGAAAAAGTCACAGATTAATCTTCCAAGCAGCAGCAACTAGCTAAAAGGTTGCATGTTGTGGAAGAAGGGATGATTTCCCAGGTAAAGTTCATTTTCATTAAGCTCCGCTGCGGGGCAGGGGTTGCTTTCATCTTGCTCAGGAGAGCCTGGATTCAAACAGCTCTGAAGCCAGAGGAGGCATCAGGTAGGAGACAAACTGACCTATAAACCCAACAGCCGCCAATACTCGTCTCTTATTAAACTAAGCCTATTAAGGTTAGCACAAATAAAAAAATCACTTGCGAGTTCATGAAATATTAAATCTAAGAGCACTGAATAAAACATCTTATGAAGCGCAGCAGACAAGGAAGTGCAGAACTGGGAAACAAACACAAAAAAATCCTCCTCCAAACCTTAAAAGAGCCGCTTTCTGCCATCCACATGGCCACACAATTCCCTACCCTTTCTATTTCACTACATTTTTGTTTGTCAAATCACTCTTGATGAACAGCAAACAGCGTGGGCAAAAGAAGTGAACAGATTCATCTCCAGGACACTTCATGTTTCTGCTTGTTTAATTTTTCAGTGTTCCAAATTAGCTGATCAATATATCAGTTGTGCAAAGTTTGAAGACATGAAAAAACATGGTGCATGACAAACGCCGGGTCCAGCTCTGGTTAACGCGGCCATTCGGATGCAGGAAAACACGTCCCGTTCACGGCAGCCAGCGCAGGCCACGCCAGCCGCTGCACCTCCATTTCCTGTGCAAACACAAGCTGTGGTGTTAAATAGTGATTCTTTTTTGAAATTCTTTTATTTGGAGAGTTATTATTCAGCAAACATAGTCCTATAATGTACTTCCAACACTTCCAAAGGCTTTTTTTTTTTTTTTTTCTTTTTGGCAACTGGTGAAGCAAACATCAAAAGTCTGAGGGTTCCTTTATTATACTTTTGTCCTATTTTTTTTTTCCTCCAAAACTCCTCTCTAACTTTTACAACAAAACGGGTGAAAGCATCACAAACTAATACTGCACCCTTCAACCCAACTGCTCTTGAGGTAATAATATATTGATCTTTTTTATTCCACTCCAGCATAACACAAAATATAAATCAAATCCAAACATAAGACCTACAAATGATATTGCACTAAGTGACAACCTTCCCCTAATCTTGGCATCAAAACAACCCCCTAGTAAGCAAAACTACAGCCAAAGTCCAGGCCATCTGACTGCTGCTTTTATTTTTAAGTGCCAGCTCGGCAGTTCTCCCAGAGCAAGCAATAAATGCACTATATGTGAGTCCATAGCCCTCAATGTACTTCAGGATGAAATCCAGCCCATTTATTTCAGGTGCCTATGACAGCACAAAAATAAACCTTGCTAGAAGGGCTACAACTACTGGAACAGTAGAGGAAAAAAAGGCCTCCTCGCAAACCCAAGCAAACAAAGTAGAAGATAAGCCTAGGGCACCTCTGCAACACTGCCGTTCCTGCAGAATGATTAACGGCATTTGCAGAAGCCCTAAGCTCCAGCACTCAGTGCTTATGGCTAGTGGCCTATGTTGATATTAATGGCACCAGTCATGTGTATTATGTAAGGTTTTTCCAAGCGCCATGCTTGCAGAAACACACGTGCTCCAGTGAAGGGCGACGACACGGAGCAGCAGGGAAGCTGCGGCAGCGAGCGCAGGTGGCCGCGACGCCGTAACCCCGCCGCTCTCGCTCCACCTCGGGCACTGCTGCCACCACGAGCGCCGCGCGGCCGGGTACACAGCGCCCTACGTGTGCGAGGAGCAGGCGTGGGGCTGGCGTCATGCACCAGCCCCTCTGCCTGCCTGTGGGCACCAGGAAACCCTCAGGCGGGTTTTGAGGCCCAAGTCTGGCAATAACAGAGCTTACAGTTTCCCAGATAGCTCTTGGATGCAGCTGCTTGGATGGGACTCTGGAAGTAGCCATGGCAGAATTTATTTGGTCCAAATCTTCAAAGTTTTATTTATACTGATGAAAAGGTATCAGCTATCCTTTCAGCCCCTGTTTAGCCATTAAACACGAGCTAAATGCTTATAAGCTGCTAGCTTAAAATGCTCAAAGTCAGCCACTAAATGGACTCTCACATACAGAATATTGCATTTTAAAGCTAACTTATTTTATTGTGAATAAGAAAATCAGATGAAAAATAAGATGGGAGGATGTTTTGCCCGAGTGCTTCAGACTGTCACTTCCAATTTACAAATACTGAAGTGGCAGCAAATGGCAGACTGGAATTAAATTTAATAGTGGAAATATATCATTGATGTAACTAGATTTGCCCATTCCCTCCCTGCATCCTCTACCTACTCAGCTACTCAAAAAAAAAAAAAAAGAAAGAAAAAAAAACACAAAGATTTAATTTCATAAAACAATTACCCTTTTCAGCAGCTTTCATCTGACCAGCCTACCTCCCATTAACTATTGATGCTGGGAAGGGATCTGCAGCATCAGGCTGAGGCAGCTCTGCTGCTTTTGCCTGGTTTCTGAGCTGTTTTGTGGCAGCAGCATCTCTGGGCAGCTGCTGGCCAGCAAACAGTCGGGCAGCATGAGGGCAGATTAGCTCTTGTGCAATCCTGTAACAGCCTAGCAGCCTGTGCAGCACAGATGGCATCCTCTGACAGGCACCATCCTGTGCCTCTGCCAAGGAGAAGAGAAAAAGGGGAGGGAAAGGCTGAAATCTGCTCCCAAGTCGACTTTCCCTCTCTCCTTCCCCTCTCCTCCACATCCCTAGCTTCTACAGGATTGAGGAGAAACCCTCCTGCACCTCTCTTAGACCTTCAATATCTCTTTGTACCATGGATATTCAGTCACGGTTTCATCTCAACCCTCTTCGTGAGATTCCCCCAGACTTAATCACACTATAGCAAGCTAGCAAGTCCACAGCTTCCAAGAACAATTCAACTTCTCAGGGACATAGCGAGAGCATTAAAGGATTCACACAGGCCTTGGTTCTTTCCTGATAGTCCAAGACAAGGTCAGCAGTGATAGAAAAGCAGCACGTCCATGAGCTCCTACATGCCTGCCGAGGGCAGAACGGGCACATCACCAACACCAAGTACAATTTCACTAGGATTAAACTGATACGGGAGGTGGCATTTCTAAGGCAAATTGAGTTTTTTTAATTGTTCTTCTAAACTATTTGCTCAAGCTTTTTTTTTTTCTTTGCTGAACACTTACTGTTACATCTGACTCACCACTCCCAGAAAGCTAAAACAGAAATAACGGCATCTTAGAGCAAATGAGATCTATGGAAAAGCAGCAAAAATTATGAAGTAAGACCTACAATATTCATGGTTATTACCAAGAAATGAGACAGAAAAGAAAAAGAAAAAGAGAAAGAAAAAGAAAAAAGCTAAACCTAAAGCTCAGATTTTGCTTGACAACTGTCGGAATACAGGCACACTTCACCCAGCAACCCTCATCGAGCCTACCCGCCTTTCCCACGGAGAAGGCGACGGACACCTGATGCCCACGCGCTGGATTAGCCAGGAGAGGCTGTCCCTCCTCACCAGGCAGCAGCCTGGGTTGCATCTTGCTTTTACAGCACAAAGGGAGCCGCTCGCTAGCTCCAGGCCCAGCCGCCGCGTCGTGCTGTGCGCGCAGACCTGCGCCGAAATAGTCATGTCACTTACAGGCAACTCCACCGACAGGCTTCAACCCTGGCATTGGGATATATAATGATAATAAAGTCACCGAGAGCCTTTGTTACTTTTAAAAAAAACAGAGTAAAAACACTCTGCCAGCTCTTTTTAGCCTTTATTTTGAGGTAGTTTCTAGTTTTTATAAAGCCCTATACACTCTTTCACCTCAGGTGGCTTGGGGCAGCTCCAAGAGGCTTTCCTAAGTCAAAGAAATACATTTCAGCACAACACAGGAAGGGGGGAACAAGTGAAATGTGTAACACAGAAGTTTACTGCTAGGAAAGAAGAGCCATCTGAGCTCTGGGTTTCAAAGGCTGCTCCATGTCACTAAAATTAGCTTCCCAGAAGGTTCAACAAGCTGCAAGCCTGGAATTTGATGGCTGTGCTCCAGGTGCATTTGTGGACTGCGCCCATTACCCAAAAAACAAGTTGAGGACAGGAGGGCTGCCTTAAACTGCACATTAAATGTGTAGCATGATAAGACTTGCTACTTCTTGTAAAGTTGAGGTTTCTATTCAAAACATGTTTTTAGCTTTTATGACCCAGATCACACACAGAAGTTCAAAAAACCCATTTTCATTTCATTGGCAAGGTTTCACCTCCCTCCTCAGCTCTGACAATATTGGAGACTAGCAGCGATTATGAAAAATTTACAACAGTTGCATGTGAAGGTCACACTGCTTTAAAAAAAAGTCGAGGCCTCAGATTCAAAAGGAAAGAAGAAAGAAGGGTCTTTGTTATGTCCCCAGACCAATGTTTACAACCACCACTTTCAGGGATACAAAGAGGTCACTTATGCATTCAAATGTATCTTGCCACACACTTGCATGCTTAAAAAAAAAGAAGTTTTATACTCAAGGGAAAGACCACATCTCCCTGGACTGCTTTTTACTTTTTGTTTGTTTGGGGTTTCTTTTCCTCCAAAATTTAGCTTCAATATGTAAGGATAGCAGTTCTCACCATTCCTGCCTCGCAGTGTGTGGCTGTGCGGAGCAGCTGAGTCACCCTGCCCTTCCCGGCTACCAGAGCCTGGCGTTATGTAACCAGAGCAGGATCAGCAAAGGGAAGAGACTTTCTGCAGCATCGCTATTCAGATGACTGAACGCTTAGCAGAGATTAAATCTGTTAAACAAAGGTCGTTATATGTAATTTAAGATTAAAAAAAATAATAATCAAAAGATAGTTTAAGGAAAGCTAGTTGAAGAGAAGACTACATGGCCAAGCAGCCTGGCCTAGTAATGAGTCATGATAAAAAACACTGCTGGTATCTTACAGACGTTTTGTTTCCAGTAATTTTGGAGAGTAAGAATACAACTGAGGTAAAATAGGAGGGGCAAAAGTATCTATATATAAAAAGAAAAAAACAAAGTCACTTGCTGCTTTTGCTGCTTTACCAAGCCCTTGTATAACATTAACTTAGTGGAAGGGGGAAAAGGTCAATCTGCTACTTCTAACAGGGTTTGTTTGCTGTGGGTTCAGCTAAAACACCAGGCTACTATGTAAACAAATCACAGCAGAGGGAATAAAAAACAGCCAGAAGAACCAGGAGCCTAAACCTGGCTCAGATACTTAGACTCAGCTCAGGTACCTCTTGTGAGCCGGGTTCACCAGCACGCACAGCCAGCAGGACATGCACCACAGGCGACACAAACATGGACAGCGACACCTCACACAGCAGTTATCAGGGTATTCTATGATTAGAGTCCAACTTTATTAAAAAATCTTGCAACCCCCCTGGTTCCCAAGATGTCACCCACAGCACCACACTACACTGATGAAGGAGCTAATAATCCCCTCGCAGTGTTTTCAAGCAAAGGTACCATAAGGGCACACAGTTTCTACTGACAGGGAGTGTTAAGTATTGACAGTGGATTGCTGGTTTGGAAGATGAAAATAAAATTGTGAATACAAAAGATAAAACAACCAAATGTAATGCAAGGTTATCCATGTCACTACTGCCCTCATCTAGTTTCTTCCTCTTTTTAGTGTATATCTATTTTTAGAGTCCTATTTTTGTTCAGAAAAGCTTTGTTTTTAAGAAACCATGTATTTTCCTTATTACCAAAAAAAAAAGTAAAAGTGGTCTGGGATCTTTCCTGATAGAGCAAAATGATAATTCTTAATCCTTATAGTTCATAATCATTCTCCCTTCTGCCCAGTTTCCCCCTTCTCCCTTCCCTTTTCACACAGACCCTCCTCCTCATCCTCCTCAAAGCCCTAAGCCCTCAAAGCTCTAAGCACAGATCACATTTGTGCCACAACTATGCCCGGAAATTGCTTTAAATTCTTTCACCTCCGTACAGAGGAACCCTCATCCCAGCTACATGACTAAGTCCTGAGCAGTTGGTTGCTTGAAACCTAGAGCCACAGCTCCAATAATTGCCTTCCACCAAATTCACTTAACCCCAAACAAACACAAAGCTTCCAGCATGCTTCTTCCAGCTACAGCTACAAGCTACTTCCCCAGCAATTATCATTAAATAATACCATAAAAGCAAAGGAGGGTCAGGTCAGTTACAGGAAAATTACTAGTTGCCATTAATTATTACTTAAATAACTGCTTAGCTAACCTTACTAAAATAACAACCAGATGCTTCACAATGGGACAAGTCAGTTAAAACAGTTTTAATAGTGACCTCTCAATGGTGCCTCAGCTCTGTTAACTCAGTGTAACATTCCTGGAACAAGAAACCACTGTACCATTTTTCTGCCACTCCTTCTAAAAAAATAAAAAAGTGTTGTATCCATAACAGCCGATCCACTAAGCTCCAAAGCAAACTGCAGAAAATTTCTTCATATTTATTGTTGACTGCTTCTAATGAACAGAAGTTGCTCTGTTTCAAAACAGAAGGTAGACTGTTCAGGCAGCAACCGAGAGCTCCGAGCTGTAAATCCCAACCGTGCAGTAAGGAGACACCCACTCACTTTACTTACTGCCATTTATTTTAAAACTATTCATCCTATACACGGCCAAAACATCCAGATTAGTGGCCACAGCATCAGAGGTTGAGGAGAACTTTTGCATCCAGCTGCCCAGGGACACTATCCAACTTCAGCTTCACTGAGAAGACACCACCAATTTGCTGCTCTTGGTTGACTGCAGATGATGCCCTCTTTTAAAGATGACCTCCAGGAAGTTAATTA